GCGACGTAGTAGTACTACTAGTTGTAAATTAATACAAAACTAAGGTGTGTTTGGCTTACAGTTGTAGGTCCGTGCAACGGAGCAATTAAGTTGATCCTAAACAGGATCGACTCGACTTGACAGTTAAAGTTGCACCGACCAAGGCCTGTTTGGCTCGCGACTAGCAAATTCCACGGTACAGGCCTAAGTATTACCCCTCGAGGGTGCCTCAAAAGTTTAGTTTCCACTTTAAACCCCCTGTTTTCCCTACCCTCGAGGGATAATACTTACGCCTGCGACGTAGTTGAATAGCAATTTGCAAGTTAGGACTTAGGAAGATAAAACTCATTCGTTATTACAACCACTCATTATTTGTTAATACATGGAATTCGACATCAATAATGCTACCATGTCGATCCTTTCAAATTCGAGATTTGCTATTACGGAGGCCCCTCTTGCGAGTCTCCTTCCTAAGTCCAAGCGTATCAGATCGGAAGTATGCTAGGGTATTTCTGCGAGATTATTCTTGTAATATTGAGCGGCGGCGCGAGCTCTTATTGCAGCGATGATGATCTTAAGATTGCGATTCCGGAAATTGCGCTTCTTCATAGTAGATTTCAACGAGGCCATGATGAAGAAGTTGTGTAGCCGAGAGGAAGTTGCGTGGTCGAGAATCAATAGAAAGAGAGTATAGAAAGAAGGTGGGGGAAGGGGAGGCGAGAAAAAAGCTTGCAACTTGAGCTTGCAGCTTGGGACTCAAGGGTGTGTATAGCTCGCAGTTGCACACGTCTGTGCGACTAAGCGGTTCAGTTGATCCTAAACAGGATCAACTCAACTCGATAGTGGAAGTTGCACGTTCCAAGCAAGGCCTGTATGGCTCGCAACTAGCAAATTGAATAGCAATCTGCTAATTGGTAATGGAACTTTCTGCTGCAACTTCGGTTTGTATGGTGCAACTACAAGTTGCAAGGTCAGATGCATCCTTTATAAGATTTACGTGCACGAGCCATACAGATTGCTCAATTCTTGCGTCTTGACGCGCAACTTGGAGATGCAAGAATATTTGGGTGGTGCAACTTAGCTTGCATCTGCGAGCCAAACACACCAAGGTGTGTTTGCAAAGCGATAAAGTGTAAAGTCAAATCTCAATACTTAGTGAACGCAATATCTTGACAAGTAGTACTACCTACCTTGGAGTTCGCGGCCGGGCTGAAGCGTTATAGTTTCTTTACATTCTTTTGAAGCGTATTACTTATAGAAATTTGATGTAGCGTTGCCGGTATCTGTTCCTACTGCGCATGGCGTGCCAAAGTCTCATTTAAACCAGATTCTACGGTAATACGGTACTGTATAGACGTAGTAAAAAAAGGATGCTTAGAGAATATTGCTATACGAACGTGCATTATACCTTAAAGGCAGGGGGTCATTTCAGCGATCCTTTGACCTCTTTTACAAAAGACAGTTATTGGACCGTCTAAAGTCAGTACAATTGCAACTCAAACAATTAAAACGTAGTGAAATATAGCTAAAAACTGTCTTAAATAATTATTTCGCTTAGGAGGAAGGACGTTCAACCTTTTTAATATGCAATTAAAAGGCTTTTTTTTAAATGGTGCGCAAGGAAAACTAGCTAAAAGAGAAATCATCGGCTGTCGAACAATTTCCAATGTAAGTTCAATTTGATTTATATAATATAAGGTTATGTTTATTAATTACGCGGAATACAGGCGGAAGCCAAGAACATCAATAGGTAGGAATCAAAGGCCTTTTAGAGATAAGAAATACGATAGACAAATGGGACGTCCTCAATTAGGCCCGCGCTCCTATATGTGTGAGTTGAATTATTATTGTTTATTACGCAAAGTTCATAATCTAAATAGCAAACAATCCTACTCAACGGCGAGCGGAAGATAACGAAATGGTATTGTGCTGTTGAAGCGGATAGTCGAAGGCTTGAAGATATAAGCAGAGTACAGAGTTACAGCGGCGCTGTACCTCTCTCTGTATACGTACCGGTAGTAGATTCCAAAAGCAACCTTAACGACAGATCAAACATGTGGAAAGTATAATTGGCCCCATCCATAAATCGGAGAGCGGTGGTTTCTGAATGGCTGAAAGCCCTGTCAGCTCCACTGCACAGACTAAATACTGGCTCAAAGATGCTTTTCAAAGCTGAATCCTCATAGGTTTATTGGTTTAAGCCCTGGTAAGAGCCCTTGCAAATATTTACTTTCCACATGTATTTAGGGGGGGGATAGGAGTAGTATTACTGTACTAACATTGTTGTTATTATTATTGCTGTTATCAATCAAGTTTTACTTCCGCTTCAAATATCTCAATAACCACAACCTTAGTTAAGGGAAGATGTCTTATAGATCGATAGGAAACAATCGAATCCACTAGATAAGGGAAGGAAATGATTGTTACATGACAGTTAGTAGTATAAAAAAGGTATTTTTAATGTTCTCATGTTCCTCGCTTATTCTAGTAATTTACTTGGCAATTCTGATATATACGTATGGAGGTACAGCGGTGGAGTTTTCCGACCTACTTGAGAAAGTAGCTTAATCGAGCAATAAATACCTTTACGGTCCTTCGCTGTATCGCTGAACTCGATACGCGTTTGAACCTTTATTTTCATGTATTCTACTCCGTACGATATGTTATTACCAATAGGCTGTAATCAAGGCTGATGGGAAATTTATCACACATAGAAATAAAAATAGCCCTTTTCTACACAGTATATATTGTATTGTCGAGTTCAGCAACACGAAGTGGAGGACCGTAACGGTATTGCTCGATGGAGATAGTCTCTCTAAGGTGGGTCGGAAAACTTAACCGCTGAACAGAACCTCCGTAAGGTAGTGAGTAGTGTTGTAGTAGTAGTAGTAGTAGTAGTAGTAGTAGTACCAGTACCGGTAGTACGTAGTACCTAGCATTGAGTGTGTTTTTGTGGGTCGTCCGGGGAGCAGCGCACAGACATGGCACTAAGTAATTAAGACCAGGCTGCCCTCACTCGACCGCGTTAAGTCGTGTCGGTTCACTTTTGCCTGCACCTGCACCTGCTCCTGCATCTGCACCCCTTCACCTTCTCTCCATCCATCTCCCCCTTCTCCCGACATCCAGTCCAGGTCGACGATCTCTTCCTTCCTCCATCTCCTCCTACAACAACTACATCGACAACCCCCAAACCCCCAAACCCATAACCCGTTCGCAATCGCTCTTTCCAAAATGCCTGGAATCCGTAAGTCAATCCAAACTACTTCCTTTATCTCTCCCGCCCCTTTCGCAGCATCGGCATCAGCATCAGTAGCTCATGCTATTCCCCTGTTTTTCTACGTCGTTATCAGACACCCCTATCCGCTGCATCGTTCCGCTGCGATGGGTACAGTTCCTCGTGCACGTTCTCCTGCACGGTCAGGTACATCTGCTAATACTGTCCGCCTGTCCCAGCACCCAACGCTTTCGCCGAGCTTAAGGCCAAGTTCAAGAGCCTGCTTAAGAGCAAAGGAAAGAAGGAGAAGACCGCCCAACCCACCGAGACAACAAACGGAGCCACTCCTACTGAGACTACTCCCGCCATTGTCGCCGCCGCAGCTACTGCCCGTCAGTGCCTTTGCTTATCCGACAATCTGGTTTATTTGCTGATATTCTCTCCCTGTAGCTGAAGTCAAGCCCGAGACAGTCGCTGCCAAGGTTGAAGAGCCCGCTGCTGGCGCAGCCCCAGTCGCTCCAGTTGTCGAGGCAACCAAGACCGAGACACCAGCTTCTGCTGAGCCAGCGAAGGTCGAGGTTACTCGTAAGTGCTTATGATGCCGATTGGCCCTATTCATACGCTGACAGATTCTTAGCAACCCCAGCAGTCGAGCCCGAGGTCAAGCAGGACGAGCCAGCCCCAGACCCAGTATGTCGTACCCCGCTGTATTCTCTACCATACCTTGGGAGTCGATATCGAATTTGCGCAAAGACTAATCTCAATAGGTTCCTAATCCAGCCGCCGCTGTCCAGATTGCAGCCCTGACCGGCCCAGCTATGGCTCCGGCTGTACCAAACCCTGCTTAGGCGCATTCCGAACATCGAAATCCTCGTATCATACGTATATTGGCGTTTTGATTCATGGTCGACACGAGTATTTGATGATGGTGAGGGGACGAGTGTAATGGCAGGATTCTGGGCTCGTAGTGGACAGGATACCATATCTGGTTTTGTTTCCTTGCGAGGACGGTGGTGGAGGTTTCCCTTTTCCTGAAATACCCCCTTGACGAGTACGGATCACAGATACCCTTGCGTGCGGCGAATAGTCTACAATCGATCCTTTTTCTACACTTGTGCTTGGCGATTTCAGATGTGGTTCCTCTGGTGTAAGAGGTGCTTATTGTCTTGTCGCTTTGAACCAGGCATTCTTGCCCTGCAGCCGGACTCTCATGATTTCAGATACCTATCCACTGTCACACCTGTTGCTAATGCTGAAACTAATTATAGCTTGGTGACTAGATCCACGGATATGGAAAGTAGACTTGCAGCTTTACGGGTTGTGCCGGAGACGTCTCCGAGGACTCCTCTCCTTTCCTTTGACCCTCTTATTCAGCAGTATGCACACCCCAGCGTCCTCCCTACTCCAGGCTTCAATTCACTCATTCTCTTCCCCAGACTACTTCTTTTCAAAATATTGCTTTTCTCTATGTCTACAACAATTTTAGGTGTGCTGTATGGGACCTATATTTGCTGTCCCGCTGTTATGCACCGAACCTGTAGACTCGGGTGGCGTGGAAACTGAGTCAACTAACGATGGTCAACGAATGCTTTACTTTAGACCCCAACAGAACGCAGTAAGTCGACACCTCCGCATTGGTCACTTGGAAAAGGAACAACGTTCTCTTTTCCAATGACTTGGAATTTGACTCAAGCTTAATTTAGCAATAGACAAATTGCGCCCTTTGAACAAGATCAAGTGCGTCACACGGTTCTGTCAAAGTATTCCCCTTCTTCCTTTGAGCGAGGCGTGGACTAAGACACCATCCAGTGTTTTCTTCCTCTCACAGCCGACGCAGGTAGCCAGCCATAGCTGGATTCAGCAGCGCGCTCCGACAGCATTTCATCCATATTTAGAAACAAGATTTGATTCGGCGGTATCGTTCTTGGCCCTGCAGATTAGTACCGAGGCATCTCTAGCGTAGTCATCGTTCTCAAACTATCGGCTTTGCATGAAGCGACGCTCTCGCTGTCGATGAGTGCCATGACTTGACAGCGGCTGCTGACTGAGAGTTGCCCAGGTGTCTGATCGGGTGTTCCAACCAGAGGCAGCATCACTACCCAAAGGTCCAGCATTCTCGCGTTCTCTCCGAACGGTTGGGAGCAGTGTACGCTACTTGTTGGCCGTGCTCCGAAGGGGTCAGTGGCTATCTATTCAGTGCTCGACGGTGGTGTGGTGCACCGACTCGGAGCCTACTGCGTTGCAAATCGGAAGTTGAGTTGTTGAGTCGACAACGAGGAATAATCAGTTATGTAAGCCTGGGGGCTCGGCACTAGCGGTTACGAAGAGCAGGCTGCGTCAAGGCAATGAGAGCTGGGTTCAGTGACTTGCGTGAAGTCCTGTACTCATGTCGTTTTAGTTTCCTATTCAGCCGGAACGTACTGCCTTGCACTCCATTTGTCGATTTTCATGCGGGAACGTCTGCTCCATTTCCACTCCTGCTGGGTAACAACCGTGGAGCTGAAAAGATCACAGGCAGAAGATTCGAGTCTGCTCCTGCGCTCTAGGATCCGTCACAGTTCAGCAGCATTCTCTGACTTGATCCGGTCTCCTCACACGTCGTCTGGCACCTGCTAGATCCTTAATACAGATAGCCTCCAGGCAGATAGTACACCATCGAGTTGTCCGCGATATTGCATTTCCCACTACGACAATAAACAACAGAAAAATCACGGCTCGATTCCGGTCTTTGGGCTGTTCTGCAGATTGCAGCGGCAGGAGGTTTCCCATTCAAATCCATATGCGGCTGCCCACAAGGCGGCAAAAGAGGATGGGCCGTGTCGGAAGGACGGACTGCTTTACTAGGGAGACTTTATTCTCTGGGACACAATGCCGTCAGCTCTTTACTGCAAGTTAATATACTTTGTACCAACCTGGGTTTGAATACTGAGTGCTGAACTCGACCTCGATTTCACACGAGGCTTTCATGTCAACCTCATCACCTACGGCTGAGCTATCTTCAACACTGCAATCTCCACCTTCTCCCACCGACTCTGTTCGCCGAGTACTCTCGAAGGCTGCTCAATGGATTTCGCGGTCCGGGTGAGAACAGAAGAGATTTATGTTTCTCTCTCCCAACTTGGCAGGATGGGCCTCCTCATGGCTACCGACACCGTCGTCGACTGCCTCAACTTTAACTTATTAACACATCCACTTTCTGTACGTAGTACCTTAGCAGTCTTACCCTCGGCTCATAACTCGGCAAATGCTGCGAGATGCCAATCTCTGGGTTCCTGGGCCCGGTGAACACTCCGTAGTTAAGCCCGATCCCGAATTTCACTTCCGACCCACTACGGGAAGTAGCCTAATCAAGCAATACCGGTAGCTTTCCGGATCCCACCTCGTATCGCTGAACGCGATACGCGCTCGAGTCATTGTTTTCGTATGCTCATTCTAGAACTACTTCTTCGTACGATACCTATGTCTGAGCGTAGTTGTCGGGCTGGAATCAATGCTGATTGGAAATTTGCAAAATGCTACTAGTATGATAGTTCTTTTCTATAGTTCAGCGACACGAAGCGGGGGACCGTCGAGGTAGGTAATGGCCTGCTCGATTTAGCCAAGTTTCCGAAGTGGGTTGGAGTACACAGTACCGGTATGTACCACACACCCACTGTACCTCCGTATGTATGTAATCTGGACGATGCATCATGCTGGTCGGCTGGGAGGCTGTGATGGCAGAGCAGACCTCGGCAGTTCAAGGGGTAGAAGTGGATGTAAGACTGCAGCTACTCGTTATCGACCGCTTCGCCGTCCTCGCAGTCGTTGTGGACGACATCAATACCGGTACCGGTATGCAGAGCCAAGTCGATGCTATCGAAAGCCGCTCTGACCACTTTGCAGATCCGAATATATTCCGTACTGTACTGTAGTTGTAAGACTCCCTATCAACTCAGCGCCTCTTCGTCGTAGTATCATTAGGGAGTTACTTCGTAAGTTGCTTGGTAAGTGAGCTGACAAGAAGCCTCGAGTTGCGTGTTCACTACGAAGATTCGAGTAGCGCAACTTTCTCACCTTATCTTGTACTACTACGTACTAGTAGTATATGTAGTACGTAGTACTACTACCGGTAGTACGTACGTACGTACTACGTAGTACTTCCCCCCCCTAAATAGTAGTAGTAGTACTACAAGTACGTACTACTAGAAGTACGTAGTAGTACGTAGTACGTAGTAAATGTAACACTGGGTCTTTTTTGGGCCTATTCCAGGGGGTACAGCAGGGAGTATAAAAAGGGGTAATAGTGGAGTGGACAAGGGTTTTAAGCCAATCGGAGCAAAAAAAGTATCAATCGATCGAGATTTTAGTAGTAGTAGTAGTAGTAGTAGTAGTAGTAGTAGTAGTAGTAGTAGTACTACTACTACTAGTTGCATCTACTACTAGTAAGGAGATGGCCTTCCCAAAGCATCGATTACAGCTTTGATAACGCCTCTATCACGATTCGTATTGAGATTAGAATTCGCTATCAGGAATAGCGTCCTAAGCCTTTGATATAATTCCTCGTACTCTCTTGAAAGAGATCGATTGAGCATTACCAACAAATACGTAGTATTACTACATAGTACTACTACATAGTACTACTACGTATTACTACTACGTATAACTACTACGTATTACTACTACATAGTAGAAAATATCTCTTTGGAATATACTTCTCCATCCCACTTTAAACGCGTTCGATTAGATTTACTAGTGAATCGGGAGAATAAGAAGGCCAATCGATTACCGGAACATTCCATTGACAAACATTATCTTGCGTTTCGAACGATCGATGGCAAGAAGCTCCGCCGTGCTGCCGCCAAGCTGTTCGAATTCCCCTTTCTCGTTCTAGATCAAACCAAGTTTGTACATGCGGTAATATTACTGGACAGTACCGGTTGCCATACTTATTGCCTTCGATGCACGATGAAAAGCTATTTTGGTTTTCCTTTTCAGCGGGGACGTGAGCTCGGATACTAGTTGTAATATGCTTCGTTGACAGTATGCACGCTTGTACTACTGTACGTATCACGTGTAGTACTACGTACGTAGTACTAGTACGTTAACAAGTATGGAGTATCTACGGAGTACTCGTCCTATGGGAAACCCTCGCCTCTCATTGGTAAGTCAATCAATTAGTAGTACCGTGCGTGTGAATTTCGGAGAGAGGGCACGACGCTCGGGACCGGTAGCGAAACCGAACCGAGGTATATTAATGCCAGTGCTGATAAAACTTTTCCGGAGCCGTGGATAGCGCTCAGATGTACTACTAGTACGTAGTAATTCTACGCACAGTATTACTCTTCCTAGGAGAAGCTTGATCCCGGATATGGCCCGGGGAACGTCTGAAACAACTATTTTGAGTATTGACTTTCATGTCACTCTTTGGGTGCAAGAAACCCTTTCGGCTTTCAGCCACTTCGAAATCATGAGCAATTGGTACAACAGGGTCGAGACTTGCAAGTGTTGACAGTAGAGCGTTTCGCGCTTTCAAAATGTACTCCGCGGCCAGTGTTTCTCCCATTGCCAGCAGTATGGACACGAGATTCGGACCAAGGGACTTTCTTGGCTGCAGAGAAACGGAAAGTTACGCTCAAAGAGTGTTTATCGGCTATGCAAGACATACTACTACGTACTACAATAAACCATTCTTCTGCGTTGATTGCTTGCAGTCCTTACTGTAAGGAGGAATGCATGCGGGATTCCCGGAAACTCCATCTTGAATCTACAGAGTATAGGGTTTGGCCAATGATCAGTTTTAGAGTTCGTACCTGAACCCTCGCGACTCTGGTCGCAGCAATATATCTGCTACAAAGTAGTATCTTCTGGAGGGGATGTAATCTAATATCTGATATCCACGTTGGCGGGAGAAATGCATGCTCCACCAGGCCTTTGGATCAGAATACCGGTAGTACGGAGAGTACTCCTCCGTACAACTTTCCGGAGATGGACAGAGCCGACATATCGGAGGCATTGCCTACTTACCAAGGCCAACTACAGCTAGCTCGAGTAACGCGTATACCCCTAAGACTTCGCCGAGGCGACCGAACTGATTCATTCCAAACTCTGCCCCAGGTTTTTGCTTCGTGAGCTTTTGAATATGCCAATTTGAATCAAGTCATTCCTAGTCCGGTTGGGATCTTCCAAAAGTATCAACGGACCAAGCATTAAGTATAGCCGGCTCGCCCGCGGACCTTCTAAACCGAAACTCTTCGCCGACATAACGGCCATGCGTATACTTGACGCAGGGGCAAAGGCAAGAGGGACAAAGCGGCGGTGCTCAGATGTGCACTTACTACAATGTACCTACTACTACCGGTACTATGTATACATAGTAGTACGTACTACTAGTTGTCTAGCTAAATGGCGGCTCCACCCATTCGTGACGCAATCTGGAGGTTGAACTGGTTCAAGATGATTCCAAGAGACCCAGTAAGTCTCTTGTATTCCTGCGGTTAACTCCCCTTCCGAAGGCTTGTTTGGTTTCGACTATTTCGAAGGGGACCATTTCGAAGGGGACTATTTCGAAGGTACTACTACCTAGCTACAGTGGGGTAAGTGATGCTGAGAGCCAGGCTGAGCCAGCATGGCTTTGCTGCCGCATAGGGTTGAATTACCTGACCCGACGACTACTGACACTCAAAGTTGATAACGTACGGAGTATAGGTAGACGGGGACAGGTGCCATAATATTCCCCTCCTTGAACACAAGGACTCCTTGAGCAAAAGGAACAGAAGGACTCCTTGAACACAAGGAGTGATCCAAAGATGGCATGGATACTCCGTGCATTTTTGATGTATCCTGGCTCGTGCCACCATAGCCGAGCGGACATTGATTCAAGGAGGGAGATCGTTCTTACTGTGTTTGTGGGACGGCAGGGAACATGGAGCAAGTACCTAATACAAAACCTGCCAGAGGCCAGCACGGCTGCTCGGTAAAGCTCGACGATGTAACGGATATCCCTATTTCAAGAGGCTGCGGCATGGGGTCCTATGTACTACGTACATGATGGATCTGGATGTTATGACTGCCTTTCGGAATTTTTAGTAAGCGGCTGAATCATCGTCTCCGACCTCCAAATTTCCATGCAGGAGATCGAGAAGGCTGAAAATTCATGGTTTTGCAAAGCTTGCGTAATGTTTTCGCCATAGCCCGGCATTGCCGAGTTATAAACAACACAAGTATGTTCCCAAAAGCTTGGTTATCTACCTCGGTGTTATTACACAATGGGTTATTAAGATCAAATTAAACCTTATAAGACAACACCCTCGCAAGCGTTAGGAGAGAGAAACTCTTATAGACCAAATCCTTGTAAGGCCAGTGAGAGGTTTGGATTAAACAAAGTTTGGTGTTTGGCTGAAAGCGATGCTCGAGCCGATCGCCAATCCACCAGCCTCCAGGATCCTTGGACATGGGTATGCAGTCTTTCCTCGTCCTGGGATGAAATAGGTTTACAGAGTGGTTCACGATGGTACGATGACTCGCGAACCCCAGGTAGGGTAGTCCGTCATTCAAATATGCTATGTGTCCCACCCAGCTACCTTGACCTCAATCCACCCTTATCCCATTCTTGTGTGTATTTTGCGGTTTCCCAGCTTTGGACGACATAATATGCAAGGTGTCGCTCGCTCGAAAGGATGGTGAATGGATCTGGTTCTACTCGAGGGCCATTGATAGTTACTACGATCACAACTACTTTCGCCGTTGCTGCGTTTGCTGTTGCTGTAAGGCTTGTTGCGAGACTTGGATGTATCAAGAATGCTGGGAAAGATGACTTAGCTATTGTCATCGCACTGGTGAGATCTGATGAGAGCTTCTATGATGACAAGGTCTAACTTCTCCCAGTGCGCGGCTCTGGCACAGCTCGTGTCTACACTATTCCGTACGGATCTCCTACTCCCTTCTCCGTACGCCGTTCTGCGCAAAGTACTAACCTGTCGCAGAGGTCAAGAATGGATTGGGACAGCATGCCATTTACCTGAGCCTCGAAAATAATGAAGCAATCATGAGAGTATGCATCAGAGTTCGTCCAGAATGGGGGAGGCCTTGCTAACAATTCGAAGTGCCTCTGGGTCGCCATCATATTCTACAGCCTGGGCCTATGTACCGTCAAACTATCCATCGTCCTTCAATACTTGCGCGTCTTCCCTGCATTGAAGATGAAACGTATATGCTGGGCGACTATTGGTCTCATCAGCATCTACGGCATATTGGCGGTTCTCACGTCAATTTGGACCTGTGTCCCCATCTACGCTTTCTGGACTCTCCCATCTGTACCAGGTTAGTGCACTTTTGCTCCTGGGCTTTGATGATACAACAAGCGACGAGGCGAGTTTTCGCCATGATTCCTCCACTCCGGGCACTTTCGGGGAACAGCAGACTGATGTGATGAGTAGGCTCGCGGTGTATCAGCAAGACTGCGCTCTGGTTCTCCAATGCCGCATTCCATATTATGACAGATCTGATCGTCTTAATTCTACCGATGCCGTTACTACATAGTCTGAAGCTGCCGACCAAGCAAAAGATCGGCTTGATGTGCGTCTTTGCGCTCGGCGGATTGTAAGCTGTGATACTCGAAATGGTCAAAGTATGTTACTGATACTTCAAATAGTGTATGTATTGTCAGTGCCCTAAGACTGCAACGCCTGTATGTCGTCTCGAAATCCGATGACCTCCCATGTAAGCCAGACCGAATCCTATTACCAAACTCAGTAAACTAACCGACGAAACTCAGATGACAATGCTGCCACGGCGATATGGTCCGCGGTCGAAGTCAACACGGCTATAGTGTGCGCCTGTATGCCATCCATGTAAGACCACGGGGAATCATGTTCACCCCCTTTTCACTCTGTCTAACCCCGAGCCATCATCACATCCCTCATCGGCAGGAACTGACTCCCTCGTTCTCCAGGAAACCCGTCGTCTCTCGTCTCTTCCCCAGACTCCTCTCCACAAATCGCAGCAAGCATTATGGACACACATTCAAATCTCAGGGCCGACCCCCGATTTCCCGCTCGACCATGGGCCAGCCAATGCAGCTTGATGACATGGATTTCGACCGCGGGAAACCAACACAGGGACCCTCGACTGTAAAGACGAGTTGCGTCGTCATGAGCGAAAACCCGAGGGACAGTGACCCCGAGAGGGGCTGCACGGGGGAGCGTGCGACGGATATCTTTGTCACGACGAGTATCTATGTCACGGAAGACCTTGAACGGAAGAGCGATGTGGCCAGTAGTAGTGAGTGTCACAACGATACTGAGAGCGAAAAAGACTGTAAGCACGTTCGGGCCGTAGCCAATCCCCCCCCCCCCCCCCTCCTCCCCAAACAGTGTCCCGGGAGTGATCTTGATCATGGAACCTACTCCCAAGACACGTAGAAATCAACAATCGCTAACTCTTCCTGGCCAAGCAGTAATTATTCAGAGGAACTAGATCCCTTTAGATAGGATGGATGCCTCAATTAGTATGAATTATGATATCCAAAGAGAGACGTAGAAATGGATCACTACTATCTTTCAACTGATGCCTGCAGTACAGTGACATGTGCAAAGTGCCTTTGAACTAACCTGCTTCCCGGCTCGTTGAGATTATTTGATTCACCACAGCAGGCGTGACGATTATTTAAACCACCATCAGACGCACTTGGCAGATAGTGTAAATAGTTCAAACTTGAAACAGGGGCAGAAAAGACTCCGATTGCTGTTGCGCTGCGTACAGTAAATCAGATTCTACGCGAAGCTTGGTGTTGACATTTTACCACGACAAGCGAGCAATGCTTACTGTTATCATTGCTGTACTGTGTACCTCTCATTTCGTGCTGCAAAGTAGTACAATGTACCGGTAGATTCCGTACCACGTAACGCGTGCATGGACCGTGAGTTCGCGCCTGGGTCATCCGAAGCTAAGAACCGTGGCCGCGGGTACGGAGGTCGGAGGTCGGAGGTCGGAGGTCGGAGGTCGGAAGTCGGAGCAGTCTAGTCTAGTACGCCCAAATTGTCCAGGCCTCGATTGAGCTAGAATTCATTCCCCTTTTCCCACTCTGAGTGGAAATCGCATTGCATTGCATTCATTGCATTGCATTCATTGCATTGCATTCATTGCATTGCGTTACGCCGCTCGACTTGATCAAACTGCCTTGCCTCTCATCCCTCTTTCCCACTCTCACACATCGATCCTATTCCTTCTGAGAAACAAACCGAGGCACAGAGCCAACCCAGCTCTACCCGACTCACGGCACGTCCCGTACCCACCTATCTGTCCAGTTGAGAGCTCGCGACAGCTATTACTACTACAACCAGTAAGCGGTGTACAGCACAGCAAGCAACGCAGAGCACGATGTAAGTCAAGACCTTGCCAGCTGTCTCTTTCTTCGGGGGGATCCAATGCCTGCATGTGCCGCCGTCACCGTGAAGGAATCAGTACGGTCTGATCTATTGGTGGGGGGTGACGTGTCGAACGAAAGCTTCTTCATTGTTGCTCTTGCAGGCAGCGGGAAAAGGGCGTCAAAAGGCAGTTCAGTTTACTTCACGCAAAGACTTTGGCAAGCTGCTAACGGTTCATCCCCATCTGCAGTCTATCGACAATTCCGATTTCGAACTATCCAAGTCGCCTAACTCTCCAGAACTCAGTATAATGGCGGACGTTGAGAACAAATCCCCCGAGCTTCCTAGCCCAGAGCTACCTCAGCACGAGGAAATACCTTCGGCTTCAGACAAGGACATCCTGTCTGGCGAGGAGACGCCTGGGATTGCCTCTGAAATCGAGATCGAGGCCGAGAAGAAAATTCCACTGAAGGAGACAGCGAATGGCAAGAAGGAAAATATCCCCACAAAGCGTGGTCTGGTCAAGCGTCCAGCTGTACCAACAACAGCAACTGGGTCGAAGCCCACAGCTTCCACTTCCTCTCGCACAGCTTCTAACGGTGGTCTCTCGAAGCCACCAACACGTGCGCCGGTTGCAACGGGTGCCCGGAAGCCAGCCAGCAGTGCGACTGGCCCTACATCATCGAGCTCGAGCCATCGTACCCAGCCATCAATTGGAGGTTCTGGTGATGAGAAGAAGAAGCCGCTCGCCGCCACCGCCCGGAGGACATCTCTGGCGCCTACGGGAGCCCATCAACCTCCGGGGAAGGTTGAAACACTCGCGGAAAAGCGAGCCAGCGCCTCTTCATCTGTATCTACGACTCGAAAGCCCGCTACCTCCACCAGCTCCTCGAGCCCTAAGTCAGTTGTGAAGCCCACCACATCCAGTGGCACCCGAACATCCGGAATCGCAAGCAGCACAACCAACAGATCTGCTCCCGTCTCAAAGCCCGCCAGCTCTTCGGTTGCTGATGCGAAGAAACGTCTGTCTGCTATTGCCGGAACGCCAGCTACGAAATCTTCAGCCCGACCTACTAGTCATGTATCGGCTGCGGCACCGTCGAAGGAAAGCGAGGAATTAAAGGCTAAGTTGGAAGACAGCGAGACTCGCGTTGAGGAGCTCAAGAAGGAGATCGAATCCTCACAGGAAAAGTTGTTAGAACTCGGTACACAAGTAGAGGAGGAGGCCAAGCGAGTCACCGAAGCAGAGGAGAAAATCAAGACTCAGCACAGTGAGATTGTCGAGAAGTTGCATGCAAAGCACAAGGCGGATGTCGAGGAACTGCAAGCACAATTGGTAGAGGCTGAGAAGGCTCAGGCTGCGGCCCAGGAGTCATCGTTGAAGGCTATCGAGCAGGCACAACAAACAGCCACCATAAAGGGTGCTTCAGAGACGGCTGAGGCTCTTGAGAAGCTGAAGGCCGAGCACGCATCTGCATTGGCAGTACTCAACAGCGAGTTTGAGACTGCGAAGAGTGCTCATCAATCTGCTATGAGTGGCGCTTTAGAGAAGGAAGCCGAGATTACAGCATTGAAGTCTCAGATTTCCGAGGCTGTAAGTTGGGGACACTACATTTCTTCCCTCGTTTTAACAGCCGCAATTTCTCTCTCTCAACCTTGTTCTTCCAATCAATCTTTGGGGGCACTTGCTGATCGTGTTTCGTAGAACGCGGCTCTGGAATCTCTCAAGGCCGAACACCAGCAGACTTTGAGCGATTTGAAGCAGTCCTTGGCTGCTGAGCATGAGTCCGCACTTGCAGCTATGAAGGCGGCTCACACAGCACAGCTTACGAATGGATCCACCGAGATAACCGCTACCTACGAGAAGCAAATTGCAGATCTGACTCAAAAGCACGAAGCTACGACTGGTGAGCTCCAGAGTAAGATTGAGGAATTCACATCTGCCCAAGCCGCCCTGGAAGCCAGCCACAAGCAGAAGCACGAAAGCCACCAGAAGGAGTCCGTGGCAAAAGTATCCAAACTTGAGGCAGAGCTCGCTATTCTGAAAGAAAAGTCCGAGAAAGATTCTGAATCACTGACTCATTCCGCAAAAGAGGTTGAGGGGCTTAACGTGAAGTTGGAGTCAACAGGAAAGCAACTGTTGTCGGCGCAGGATGAATTGGCCATTGCGACCAAAGCACTGGCAGCTATTGAAGCCAAAAACTCCGCGGGCGAGGAAGCTCTGGCAGCCGCCCAAATCGAACTAGCGAAAGCAAAGGAAGAAGTCACAAGCCTTCGGAAGATCATGGAGACATTTGATGCGGATAGTAAGAGCCAAGCGGAGATACACAGCAAGCTTACAGCCGAACTTTCTTCCACAGCGCAGAGCTTGGAAGAGAAGACAAAGGAGATTTCTGCACTGAATGAGAGACACCGCAAGGAGCTGGAAACTATCTCTTCCGACTACCAGGCTGAGATCGATGCATTGCAGGGAATTTCGGAAATCAGAGTAGAATACGAAGAACTGAAGGTGAAGCATCAGGAACTGACAAAATCTCTCGAAGATGCCTCCGCAGCTCATGCCAGGGAGGTTGAGGCTCTCCAAGCCACGCATGAAGAACTCATCAAATCCCATGCAGATGCCACAGGAAACCACGCCGAGCAATTGGAGAAGATTAAGCAAGATCATGCTGCAGCGGTCGTCGCGTTGGACAACAAGGGAAAGGAACACCAAAAGATGATCGAGGATTTGAAGGCGACACAAGTAAGTCCCTCTAATACTTCTGTCCAAATTGATAGCTATTTCCCTTTATCGTACCGAAACAGCCCTCGAAGATGCTACTAACTCATGCTGTAAAGGCAAAGGATTTGGGTGATGCCCACGACAGAGCCACCACGGCCCAGATTGCTATTCATACCGCTGAGCTCAAGCAGATCCAGGAAGGCCATGCCGAAGCTCTCTCCGCTTTGAAGCAACAAATCGGGATAGATCATTCAGCCGAGCTGCAAAAGCTTCAAGCCTCTCACGCAGAAGCCATTGCCAATCTGACACAACAGCATTCTGCAAGTCAGACATCTGCACTTTCCGATGCGGAGGCACTCAAGGTAAGATCCGAGCTGGGGCTGATTTCATGGCCAATACTAATTGTAGATAGGATGCCGAAGCTGCTCTGAGAGCAGAGATCTCCAAGACCAATACTGAGTTATTAAAGGCACAAGACGAGCTGGAAGCCTTGAGGCAAGATCTTGCTATCGAAAAGATGGCAAAGGCAGAGGCCCAAGCCGAGCTGGATTCTGCAATGAACAAACGAGCAGACACCTCGGAGGTTGATTCTTTGCGAAGAGAGTTACAAGCTTTGAAGGATCAGCATCAAGCGGCTTTGATGACGGCCCAGCAGGAATCAGCAAAGGCTACTGAAGAGCACCTCGAAACCAGGGCATCTCTGGAAAAGGCCTATGCCGAGCTCGAGAGACAGAAATCAGAAAGCCGCAATGATTACAAAGATATGCATGAATCCATGACAGAAATGGTCGAGGAGGCAAACAAGAAAGCTGCGGATTTGGAAGCACGGACAAAGGAGCTTGAGGCCAATCTCAAAGTGAAGAATGCTGAGCTCGCCGAGGCCAAAGTAAAATAACCCTAATCAACACCCGTACGATTATACTGATATCTTGCACAGGTCACAAATGCTCCCCTAGCTGCGCCAAAGACTCCAACGATCGGCAAATCACCCGGCCTTGCCGCAAGTCGATACGCCGAAGAAAGCGACATTAACCCAGAAGTAAAGGCGGAAGGTGAGCATGATAGTTCATCAGCCGCGTTGGCATCGGTCCGACAACCCTCTCCTAAACTTTGTCTTCTCATTGCCTCCTCTCCTCTATTGCTGAATACTATTTCCTCGACTACCCGTACCGAGAAACGCGAAAGAAGAACCAGCTCACTGACGGATAATTTTTGAGCGAGTATAGTTGGCGAAAGCTAAAATCGCTCTCGAGCAAATGGATCAGATGAACGAGGATCTAAAGAGAGAAAACCTGAGGTATGATCTAGAATTGATCTTGGGTTACTTCCGATACTCCTCTAATCACATACGACAGATCTCTTCAGTCTATTTCCAACAATCCACCATCACCTTCACCTCAACATGTTTGAGCCTCATCGGCCCGACCCCACGATATCCCAGAAACAAATCCTCTGAATCGGAATCCAACAATTTCGACTCGAATGAACACATAATGAATGGCCTTTGGCCTTCCTTTGCTTCTTCTCTTTGACTTCATCACCTGCTCGGAAATTGGCATTCGATACCCCAACCCCTATACCCGTTTGTCTTGTGCCTGCACATAAGCCGTTTTTGAAAGAAGCTCTCAGTCTTTGTTTTGGCGATCGATAGGATGAGCCCTGCAGTGGCGGTGGTCGCGGCTCGTTTCCATGGTTGGTGAAACACTTTGATTTGTATGTACTGTATGCGGACGCATGGATGGGTGGATGGGGTGGTGACAGAAGTGGTAGATGAGTTGAATCCTTACTATTATTTGCTGTATGCAAATTTGATCTCGGACTGGTACGAAGACTTAAGGAATAATAGCAGTTTTCATTCTTGAGCCCGGTTCTGGTACTGAACCATCGAATTCCTGGTTTTTGCCTGCTCCGTTTGTTACCGTGGCTAGAAAGCAGAAAGTTAAAGTCTGGGTCGGATTTTGATATTAATTTGGCGCTGAAGCGTCTTCTGATGTTCGAGGGCTTTTTCTAGTGAGGTTGAGGCTGACTTGCATGTTTGCAAAAAGATATAGATCTGCACCTACAAGTCCAACTTGGGCGTAACTCAACTCACATTTCAAGAAATTCGAATTCAAATCCGGCTTACTACGTACGATATGCAGTATTGACGATCCGACGACCTCCGGGACTAATGAGAGAGAGCCCTTTGCCCGCGAACTTACTGATGTGGATGATGAGTTTTCATTTCACCACCTACTTTTTGTTGCTGTTGTTGTTGTTGTTGTTGTTGTTGTTGTTGTTGTCGTTGTCGCTTACTTCAACTTGAAGGCCTGCACCGATACCGATCGATGTATATGGAGACAGAGCTCGGTTGATGGTTGCGCAAGCGAGCGAGCCCCTTTGTTTACTTATAGCGCCACGCACGGAACTGCAACGAAAGCAGCCGTGCGTCCGCCGCGCCTTCTCGTTCTAGCCCGCATCACGGTTTCGGGAAGGAGAGGGGGATCTATCCGAGTGAGAATTGCTTCCGGGAAGAAGAGCGGATGACGAAAAAGCTGGGAGAGGGAAGGGAAGAGAAGGTATGATATCGCTGGACATACAAATATTCATCTTACCATTTTATATATCCGGCAGAGCTCCAGGGTATGAAAAGCTCCTACCGTATGCACCTGGCCAACATGTTGCAGAAGTCGGGGCGGGGCGTGTGACACTTTTGTATCACTTCAGAATTCGCCTGTGGCGAGTGATCCTTTCTTTCCACTGCTGGCAGGCTCCCACACCAGATTCAGACCAAGGGGAGAGAGAGAGAGATGGAGGCTAATAACGTAAAGAATGGCACATACGACCATAGACTGAAGAGAACAGGGAACCCCGTCTGCTCTTCCGCACTTAAGCTTCAGATCGGCGGTTTAGTAGTTGGGTGGGTGACCACCAGCGAATACCCGCTGTTGTATGTGATCTTTTTGCCTTCTGTGAAGGCAGGTAGGCAGGTGGTGGGAAGGTCCGCTTGTATCATGGGCGCCTTGTTTTTTTTTTGATATATCAAACGACTTGCCTTATCGAGACCTCTGAGCCAGTGATAATATTGAATAAGGAGATGGAGGGAAGAATATCCTCGCTTGAGGTACGCAATGCCCTTTCACCAAGACTGGGTGGAAATGCGTATAGCTGTGTCCAGGGAACGTACGCTGCTCCAGGAACACATATGGAGGGAGGACCCGATAGAAGAACTCTCTAAGCAAGTGTCAATTGAATGTACAAATATGTATGTTCAGGTCGGATTGCTTAGCTACACCTCCAACTTCATTCATCACGCCAATTTTCCGGGCACAAATGGGTGCCCTGCGCTCAATCCCCCATCGACCGCCCAGGCCTGACCATTAACATAACTGCTCTCGTCACTGCCCAAGAACAATGCTACCCTTGCAACCTCATCGGCATGTGCTCCTCTCCGCAGTGGGTTCAACTGACCGATCTTCTTCTCTGTCCCCTTCGCCCTAGCAGCTTCGTACATAATGGCTGTCATACCGGTTTCGATCACGCCAGGGCATATAGCATTGATCCTAATGCCTGTGCCAGCCAGCTGATACGAGATCGTTTGGGCGACTGATACCACAGCAGATTTCGAGGCAGAGTAGTCGGTAGAGCCTGCATTGGATCGGAGACCTGCCACGGAGGCAGTGACGACTATGCTACCTCCCGGGTACTTCTTTTCTTCCGACGTTAACATCATCGCAGGCGCTGAGTACTTCGCTGCGAGGTGCACGCTGTATGAGCACAATGTCAACACAGCCCGACACCTCTGCAAAAGCTAGGATCTGCCTACCTAACAACATTTGTCTTTAACGTATGCATAAACTCATCCGAAGAAATATCCGTAAACATCTTTGGTTGTCCGACAATGCCAGCATTCGCAAAGAAGATATCCAAGCGTCCATAGGTCAACACCGCCTCGTCTACAACAGACTTCACAGCGTCCTCGTCTGCGGCATCGAACATCCGGACGTGGATGTCGACATTCGGGTATAATGACACAATCTCACGCTTATGTGTCTCTAGATGCGAGTCGCTGAAGTCGCATATATAGACCGCCTTTGCGCCATTCTGGGCGAACTGATGTGCTGATGCGCGACCGATCCCGAGAGGAGAGTTTGTCCCTGTGAGAGGAGAGGGAAGTCAGGCCTGGGCCATTGGACGGTGAGAGGGATACTGACCTGTCACAATGACGACTTTGCCTTGGATCCTGGGTCCGGCAGAGTCGGGTGCTATCTTCTTGAGCTTTGGGATACCTTCATATGTGCCTTGGTCTCCAACTGGGTTTACCAGTTGCTCGCTCAGAGCTGCCAGCCTTCTCTTTGCAGTAGTAGCAGACATGATGAGATATATATATGTATGTATGTATGAATGAAGGGTTAAAGAGGAGATTAGATAGACAAGTCGTGAATGGACAGACAAGAGAAAGAAAACCAGTGCGAGTATCCGCACAGTACTGGACCTACCTTGGGGGTTGTTCTGGATCTGCAGCGGGGGAAGCTCGCATGATGAGCCGACAAAAGCTAGAGAGGCCGAGGATAAAATGATATTCCGAGGGTCATATTTAGCCATAAACAGGTGTGTTGATATCACACCTGTATGTACCCGGTATGATGAGCAGCATGCATCCAGGAAAGAAGTGTGAGTGAGCCATTATTCTCGTGCTCACTCAACCTAAAAATCACGCAAAAGTTAGAGTAACGCTTGAGAGGAAGGAGAGAGGTACAAGTTAGCTAGTTGCATTTTTTTTACGTATATCCGTATAGAGAAATATGTAGATATAGAACCTGTTGCTCTATCAACACATTCCCAAAGGCCTAGCTACCTAGGTACGGTACCTACCGTATGTCTTGTCTTGCCGTCCCACTCCTTACCTCCGCGCCGCATTGTACTTAGGCGAGATTTCATGATGGGATTCTCAAACTCTATCTCTGACTTGCACACCAAGCTACAACCACAACATACACAGCTCGACCACCACCTTCTAAAGCAAGTCTACACCCTATGCAATCCCGCATTCACAGAAGCCTCCTATGTTTCCTGCCACGTCGACGCTTTCCAGACGACGGTGAGGAGGTTGTCGCTCGACTGTTGCAATCCGCCGGAGGAGGCATATGTTAATTGCGACGAAGGGTGGCTTGTCAAGACCATGGATCTAGATGCTGTCCCCAACTCGATGGAAAGATCGGCTTCTCAACACTCGACCACATCTAGGGCGAGCTCCCGATCGCACACTGTCCGGGCCAAGCCTCGCAAATATACCTCCTACATGTCCAGCAGTGCATCCTCGATATCCGACAAGTCCTTGACGTCGTTCCCCTCCTTTTCCCCAGAGTTACCCCAGGACTCGCGACCTCCGACCCTCCGGACGGTGGATGGCGCTGCGAGTGCCTCGCGCAAGAGCTCTGATCCTCTCTCGATAGTTGAGAGCTTGACTACCTCGTTGTCGACTGAGCACAATCGCTCTGCGCTATTCGACGATGCGCCGCTGGCCAGCAGTTCCATTCCTGGATCTATACACCTTGCAAACGACGACCACATCGAGAGGCTGATGGCGCGGAACGGGGCAGTCTCGTTGGTCAGGCAGATCGCAGGAGACTTGGCTCAACGAGATGTGCAGATAGCTTCGCTGAGGCGGAAGGCCGAGAACAGGGAACGGGCTCTAAGGAAGATCATACTCGAGTGCGGCTTGTCGAACCTAGACTTGGAGACCCGGCTGCGTGCTATCGAAAATGAACGAAGGTCGCCGGCCGACTCGACCAATGGGGATCTTGTTACAGAGGACAATGGTCTTGAGGATCTGATGAGTGATGCTTTGGGCGGGTCTATGGCACAGGAGGGGAATGGAACGACAGATCGCGATGCTACAATACGAGCGGCAGCAAAACTGAAAGCACTGGAGGACAAGTCTGCTCCTGCCCAGAAGGGATGGAAAGATTACATCTGGGGTGGTGTAAGTAGGAAGACAAGCCGAGCAAGCAGTGTCAGTGGTGATGTTGTCGCTGCGAGTGGGTCAATAGGGACGGAAAGGGGAGCAAGTACAGCAACCGGTCGGAAGTCAGTCCTACAAAATGGTCTCTTCCAGCCGCCTAATACCATGAGAAGTCCAAGTCGGGCTTCCAGCCAACTTTCGAGCGCTCTTGCCGCATCAAACGGTGAGCGGAAGCCATCTTCTGGATTTGCAGCGTTGGCCTTGAAACTCGTTGCGGGCACCACCATGACTGGCCGAGATGACAACGGACGAGGGCGGGCAAGTAGTACGGGAACGACACCGCCTGGGAGGGCACAATCAACAGCCAGTGCGAAAACTACCGCGTCTGCTAGGACTGCTCCAGTCAAACCGGCTCCGAAGACGATACCTAGCAATCGTCGACCGACTGGTGCGAATGCCAACACTGTTAGAGGGCCCCCAGACAGGTGGGATACTATGGGCGCTAGCCCACAGAACATCAATCCTAGCAGTGGTGCTGATAACTATGGCCCCGTAGAGATGGACACGATCCTGGATCCGGAGGATCAGCCGCCTACCATCACCCAAATCTACAACAACCCATACAACCCCGAATTCCTTACGGACCGATTTGGATTCATCTATGACCAGCGTCGAAAGAAGAGACAGCGCGAAGCAGCTGAGAAGATGCAGAAAACGAAACGAGGTAGCCGCGTCGAAATGTTGAGCAGTGCTAGAAGTGGGATTTCTGCTGGCATTGCAGACGCAGATACGAATGCTGAAGAGGACAGACCCGATACCCCGACATCCACCGAAGAAAGGCTCGATGATGGCCAACCTGCCAAAAGATGGCAAGACTATCTAAAAGTCGCAACGTTTCCTACAGAGTTGCTATCGCACACTCCTTCCAGTGGTGTACCTGCATTCGAAGTGATGGAGGGTAGCGAGATGCCACGATCTCCAGGAATCGTGACTGAAGAGCGAGGCTTCGTACCATCTGCTACCACCGTAGCGCCCCAGTCCTCCGTAGCAGTAGTTTCTGAGCTTGCCACAATCTCCAAGCCTGCTGCATCTGAACTAGTCCCCTCGGAATCCACAGATCCCCATCAAGAAGATGCCGAGCCTGTCAAATTATTGTTGAAGCAACTGGGAGAAGTTCATGACTCACTTCAGCAAGCTAAGACACCTCGATGGAACGACTTTCTGAGGAAGGTCAGAGCTGAACGGAAGCGTGACGGTGAAGCCGCAGCTGCAGCACTGGCCAGTACAGTAAATAAGGGTTCTCATCGACCGATAGCGGTTATGCCGGAAGCTACTCTGACCGATGGAGAAATCATTGGTGTGGCGGGCTTGGGTAACAAAGGCAAAGTTGGACGTGCGAAATGGAATGAGTTCAAAGCTCTGGTCCTGGGAGGCATCCCGGTAGCATACCGAGCCAAAATATGGGCTGAATGTTCCGGAGCCGCAGCTCTACGGATCCCAGGGTACTACGAAGACCTCGTTGCGCAAAGAGATGGAGACGACGATCCGGCGATTGTGGCGCAGATCCGAATGGATATTCACCGTACTTTGACAGACAACATTTTTTTCCGAAAAGGGCCTGGAGTTGTCAAGTTGAGCGAAGTTTTGTTGGCGTACTCACGAAGGAATAAGGAGGTTGGATATTGTCAGGGTATGAATTTAATCACGGCATGCTTGCTCCTTATAATGCCGACAGCGGAAGACGCTTTCTGGGTACTGACCAGCATCATCGAGAACATCCTGCCGCAAGGATATTACGACCATAGTCTCCTTGCCTCTCGAGCTGATCAACAAGTCCTCCGGCAGTACGTGACCGAGATTTTGCCCAAGCTCTCTTCTCATTTGGACGATCTAAGCATAGAGCTCGAAGCTCTGACATTCCAGTGGTTCCTGTCGGTGTTCACCGATTGTCTCTCGGCTGAAGCTCTTTTCCGCGTCTGGGATGTCGTCTTTTGCACGAACGATGGCAGCACCTTCCTTTTTCAAGTCGCGCTCGCCCTATTGAAGCTCAACGAAACTCAACTCTTGCAATGCTCGACTCCAGCCTCGATCTACACCTACATCAACCACCAGATGACAAATCACGCCATCAGCATTGATGGTTTGATACATGCGTCCGAGGGCTTGAGGAAGGTCGTCAAAAGAGAGGAAGTTGAGACTAGAAGAGTAAAGGCCATCGAAGCCGAAAAAGATCTCATCAAGCAGCGCGAAGAGCGCAATGCTCTCCGAAAATTGCAGAGAGCTGCCGCCGCTGAAGCAGCAACCCAACCTCCTGATGAGGTTGCGGAAGTGCCTCCACCGTCGAGTCCAGCGCCAACAACGCAATTGGTAGTAGATTCTGATGGACTGGAGGGAACGATGGTGATAACGCCGATGCCGGTTGATGAGGAAAGGGATTTGGGGCTGGGGTTGGGGCTGGAATGATTGCTTTTGAAGAAAGCTACTTTAGATTGGTGTGAGTATGTGGCTTGAGGGGAACACGAGCGGTTCCCTTTTGTATCTGTGCGGGTTTGGGAGTGCTACTCATGATACCCCTTGGTTGTTTGGCTTTGATGTAGATGGGTGGTCGTTGGTGATAGACGCAATAATGAAGTCGTGAAAATTCCAAAAAATGATTCGAATACGGCTTCTGATGATAACATACTCTTGGCTGCCGTTATACTTCGCCCGTACATGTAATTGATTTTCGAATGATACTTCCGAGAGGTCGAGGGTGTTAGATTTACTTTACTTGTGTTTACTGACCTTCCTATAGAACTCATGTCCAGATCAGGTCGGATCCTCGTCCGCGACCCCAAAGCAAGGATCTTATCACACTTGCTTTTGAGAAAAAAATATAAATATATATATAAATACGTATATACGTGCGTATGGTAAATTTCAGCTCACCAGCTGGGTAACCAAAACAGGTGGAGGGACTGACGGGCATACCGTATCGGAAATCGCGATCACCGACGTATTCGAGCGAGTGTATCTATCATGCGCCTCCTCCTTGATTTTGGCTGAGACTCTCCCAGGCTATGAATCTTGTCACTTGTGATATGTGATATCTTATCGAATGCGGCATATCATTTTGCTTGTTTGGAAAGTCGGGAAGAGAGGGGTTGTTGATACCTACTGGGGAAGTGTAGTACCCAGTCTCGAGAAGCGAAAGTTTTTTTGGGGGGGCCAGTGAAAATTCCGTTCGTTCAGCCGCTGCATTAGCCGCTAGATCTTAGGTGATGATATGAGGGAGTTGTTCAGAAGCGGAAAACTTTAGGTTTAGGTCTCGAAGAGATGGTGGAAGCCTGGAGTGTGAGAGAGAGACCTGTTTATCACAGCGGCTAGCCGGTGGTGTCTCGACCAGGCAACTAGTAGCCACTATTCGACCCCCACGCTAGAGCGCAGCAAGAGAAAATTCTCTTTCGACTCATCAATCCATGGCAGAATATGCAGGTGTATATATTTCCGTAGGCGGCTGGATGGCTGGCCCAACTAGTCAAGCTGATGGTGGGTGGTCGGCTTGAGTGATGTGAACATCGAAGACGCAATGCCAAACACCAGGTGCGAAAGTCTTGACAAGCTCAACATGCTCAACTTTAGCAACACGGCCATCGTTCCCTGACATGATCCATGACGCAAATTTCTCCTCGATTTCCCGTCTCCTAGTCTGGATGTCACTGACCCCCACATTCTCATGGAGATGGAGCCACCCGTCGTCTCCCCTCAGAATCCGGAGGGTCTTGTCCCAGACCGGCTCACTTGTCGGTAACAAACCGCAATTCACATGCCTGATATTATCTAGATCCAGAGCTCTTGATTTTTGGATTCTGTCCGCGGCCATCGAGTTATCCTCCAAAAACATGACGATTTGCTCGTCAAATGCACCAAAATCGGTGCCATCTTTGACAACCTTCACAGACCAGCCATTTGCCACTGCGCCTCTCCTCAGGCCTTCGACAGACCAGGGGTTCAACTCCCACCCAACCACTCTTTTCATTCCCATCTTAGCGTAGCTGAAAACAAAGTATCCGATGCCCGCGTAGAGATCAACCGCGGTGGCGCTCTTCAGCTGTTCCCTGCGCAACGAATTCGCTCCTGATTTTGGACTGTGAAAATCAAGGAGTCGTGCTTTCTCCTTGACGTTTCCGCGACTGAACATGGTGTACCGAGGTGCCCAGACCTGAGTGATACCATTCTGCTTCGTGCTGACCCAAAACGCGTCTTCAAAGTCCTTCTCTGCGGGCTCCAGGTCTGGGGATGATCGCGGGCCGAAGTCACCGTATAGCATAACTAAACCGCTGGGGGTCCTAAGAATATTCTCGGCATCCGCTGGTTCCGATGTACTCGGTGTTCTCTGATCTGGTTCAGAGCCAGTAGTAGTCTTGTGTAGAGGGATCCCAGAATTGATCGCAAGATGGGTGAGGATACCCTTTCCTTCTCGCTTCTCGATGTTTTGCAGCATCAATTTCCATAGCTCGTCGGCCTTCGACGACATGACTTCGAGACGGATGATCTCCCACCACTCCGGGCCAAAGCTCCCCGCCGGCAAAAGAACCATCGGGGCATAAACTACCCATCTCTTGGGTATGCTAGAGAGCAAAATTTCCGCATCAAGCTCGAAGCTCTCCAGTGACCCGAGAGGGAACGAAGCTAGCCATGATTTGACTGCCGTCTCGATCGGATTGGCTGGCTTCGGTTTTGGGGGTCTCTTTAACGTCGAGGAGACGTGCGGCATACAGATATTTGATATCGTCATCTGATGATCACTGAGTATATTATGAGACTTCTCACGAGATGAAAATAGCCAGCAGTGGCACTCATCTGGCAACGTGTCCAATTTCTGAGAGTAAAAAGTTCCTCCTGACCACTCGATGCTGGCAAGAGCTTGAATTCAGAACCTATAATATATCAAGTAACTAGCTCTGCAACGGATTTCTAGCAACGATCGGAATGCTCCCGCTTAATTTGCTCCGGGGTTCCCACGATGCATTGATAACCGAGACGGAAGAAAGTGTCGCCTTTTTGTGGGCCACACGTGGTCGCTAAATATGCTGTTTCTCCGGTCAAATATATAGGTAGGGTATATATATTTCACTACTTAATTACTTACTAATTTAAGTCCTTCGAAACGGTTTAAAATTCGGGGACGGCCTTAAGACGGCCATAAGACGGTCTTAATATGGTCCCAAAACGCTCGGAGACGGTCTTTTCGTAAAAAGACCGACTTTTTATAAACGACAATCCAATCGATCAAGACGGTCTTATTTTAATAATAATCTTCTAATGACAAGACGAGCTTTTATAAAAGACGATTTTATCGATTAGAATGATTTTATTTGGGCCACGATTTTATCGTTTGTTTTCAAATTCTATATTAATCTTAAATATCGGCCTAGAGTGATCCACCGGCTATGCCAATCTATTAAGATCGTTTTTAAAAGAGATGATTATCGGACGATCGGCTAACCGTCTAAAAGCTCTTGCATTCCTCTTCAAGGTAACCGCTCGATTCACATTCAAGGTAATGCTACGGTAAAGGCAATCAATGATTTTTGCTACCAGTGGTCTTCCTATCGGTACCAAGCGACTTCTGATAACCTTCCAGATCTGAACGGGTGCAGCCAAGGAGACAAATCAGCAAGAGATATCTGATGATATCCATATGAAATTAGAGACAATCAATGGAAGTGATCAAAAGGGAGCCTTCTTATTGTTGGATGTTGAGACAGAACGCCAACCGATGACATGCACCAAGTCCTTGGTACGTGTCTGTCTACATGTCTATGTAAGCCGAGAACGATCTATAAGTGAGACAGGACGCCAGCCTACTCAGTCTATACAACTTTCCAGACGCGCTTCTCTTCACTATTTTGATGTCCATTCCGGCACAACTCTATTCAGGTAACTCATGAACTTTGCCAACCCAACGGCATGCTCGACGTTTCCCTCAGGATCTGTCACCTTCTCAGGCCACGCGATGCCAGCGGCATACAACCCCTTGACCTTCTCTCCGCTAGTATCCACAAAGCCAGCAGTGCAATCGTTGTGACGGACTTCTAGTCTCTTTCCACCTTGCTCCAATATCGGGATTTTGTTCTGGTGGAAACCGATTGCTTGGACTACGTGAGAGCATGCTGGGAGGTGTTCTAGGTAGGTGTCTTGCTCTTTATCTCTAGTCGTGCTGACCTTCTCGAGAAATCTGCTCACATCGGAAGAGGGCAAGACATCTTCTTCGAGATTCTCCTTGGCCCATGTTGCAACAGCACCTTTCAAACCAGTGTTGTCGCGGAAGATCCAGCCGTCGCGCTCTTCGGCGTAGCGTAGGGGATGGCGAGTGAACCACTTGATACGGAGATGAGGATGCGATGAGCTGGCAAGATTGTATAAGTTACGGAGCACGAGGATAGCGCTGTGGGAGGCTCCGATCACGCCTACTGTTTGCTTTTCGGTGGAAGGGAGGATCTTGGCGAGAAGTGGGGGATTCAGGGCGGGGTCCAGTCCGATTTCCTTGACACTGGTGACAGGGAGAGGCCCAGTACTGGGCGCGGCGCCTGTGCATAGGACTAGAAGATTCGCCGAAACTGTGGAGGGTCCGGGGAATTTTTCGTCTGGCGATGTAATGGTGACGCTCCAGTTGTTTAGCTTGTTGATATCAGCCAACAGATCCTAGACAGCATCGATATGTGAAGATGACTTACATCTGACCACGACGCACCGGATACTTCCCCGAGCTGCTTATGAACTCCTCTCGATTCATTCAGACCTTTGGTGAGCATGAGGCAAAGGTCGGCTGCTTCGGCAATCTGACATGTGTTCTCCCGGTCGAGGTCTTGCAGATGTGTGTACGCGTTCGGCGCTGGAGTCTCCTTGGCCACGGCCAGGAAGGCCGAAACACCCTCAGCATATGATATGAAGCGCTTGACTTTGGTGTTACTGTTGCTCCGTCAGATCACGTGGCGACCGTTGCAGAAAGACAAGAATATACCTTGGGACCTCCCGGTAGTACTTATTCAGTCGTCCACCCTGTAATTCATGATCAACCCATAATATAGGCGCCTTATTCTGCTCCAGAAGATTGCCTACTACGGCAATTCCAGCAGGCCCTACAGCTAAGATGTCAACAAGAGAGCTGAACATCGATGGCGTGCTCGAGTCTATCCCCAAAGAAGTGGGAAACATCCATGTAGGAGAGCGTCGAACTCAATTTGCACCAATAAAACGCGTGAGTGGATGGATATAAGAGGTTTTGGCTTACCGGCACCGACTACCACTGCCTCGTACTTAGTTGTAGTATCGCTCTTCATCTCGAACATGTTTCTCGTTCCTTGATATCGAGTACAAGTTGAATTCAACGACCAGAGCCGAGTCGAGCGCGAGAGTAGCATCCTGACTGGCGCCGCGCGCATTAAAGAGGCCATTTTGCCAGGAGAATCCCAAGACTCTTGTCGATTTAAATGCAGGAGCCCAAGGGTGAACCTACCCCTGGGGCGTGGGATGAGCGAGCTGCAGGTCGCCGATTACTCTCTGCACGCAGTGTTTGAAGGTCGGCGATAGGGGAACATGCGCCCCAAGTGGATGAAGGGGTTGGGATATCAAAATCCTGAATTTCCAAGGGGTGGTAAACCACAGGGGGGGAGAGGACGAGTGGTTGATGTTTGCTTGGGCAGATTACAGAGTAAAAATTTGCAAGTTTAAGGTTCCAGCTCTTTAAAGGCTTCTTCTGGCTACATTTGCCACCATCAACAACAGGTCGAAACACTTGCACAATTACAGGCCTTTATCACATCATATTAACCATTTGGGCACAGCCTGTGTAGTTGTTTACTAGTTAGTCACTAATTACTTCTCTGTTTTGCTGACACGGACCAGGCGTCTTACCATCAGCAATCCCTAGTAAGTATTCTTCTGTGCTTCGGTATTTGTTTGGGAGACCAGGCGGTGTGAAGAGCCGGCGGACATTCAGAGTTCGTGATAAAGTTTCGTAGTAGTGCTTTGAGAAACCATATTGCGTGGAGCGAGTAGATAAGAGAAATTTGACTGTACCTACTACTACTCTCCCCCCCCATGAATAAATGTCGGACCCAGTTTAGGCCCATAAATCATAGAGCGGTGGTTTCTTAATGGCTCAAAGCCTTGTCAACTCCACTATATAGACTAAATACCGGTTCAAAGATACTTTTCAAAGCCGAATCCTTATAAGTTGATTGGTTTAAGCCTTGGTAAGATCCCTTGCGAAATTATACTTTCGACATTTATTCATGGGGGGGGAGAGTATCTGCAGATCATGAGATCGGCTGAGTTTTATGCCAGTCATGCCTATACGTGATGCGGCCTGAGGTACACCCAGACGTGGATTTTAGCCAAAAGTTTCCTCAACTACTCTGTTGTACGGGTAAAAAGTAGGCGGAAATGGTGGGCCACCTCGCAATTTATTTGGAGGCGAAGGGGAGAATTGCAGAGGTGGAATGGCAAGAATGAACCTAAAGCTCCCCTCGGTGCTAAACCTCCTTTTTCTACTTAACGTACAGCGCTGCGTCTCCTTTCTATTTCCCTTGTGATCGTTAAACAGTAGACAAGAGGAGCGCTCAAAGATGGGGCCGGCCTAAGGAGTGCTCCCAGCGCACTTGCTAAGGGGGTTCCGAAGAAGAACAAGCAAAGAGGTTCCTGATTTCTACGGAGTAACAGTTTGTTTACTCCCTTTCGAAAGGGGTCGAGAGAAGTGAGAATAGTCTCTGGGCTCAGGCTAGACTTCTAGCTTTCTATTCGTTCTTCTTTTTGCTTTGCACACGATAACTCCCTTGCATAGACAATAACTCTGTAAAGAACCTTATGCTGGATGGATTGGGGGTTTACTGTAATAATCTGTGGCGACAAAGCATGACCATCCACCAGAGAATTTCGTATAGGAAGTCCGAAGGAAACTAGACAGCACATCCTCATTGGTCCTTCTTGCTCTGAGCAGCAACTCGACGCTTCTGTCTCCTTACCAACTCAAATCCCAGATATCCCGCCCAACACGCTATCGCTAGGATGCTATACGCGAAAGGAGGCAACCATCGCTTCTCTACCAATTTTTCCGAAGACAAATCGGTCATTTTCGACATGTAGATGGTAAATCCGGCATCGTAGACTATTATGAGAATCGTATAAACGAACATCGACAGCTGTATGCAACCCCTTCGTGGAGCATCAGCCATAGCTGCGATAATCTGGTCGAGCCTCCCGGCCATCTTCACGTTCGAAAACTCATCCTTGACTCGCTGGATTCCGGCAGTGCCCATTTCCCTGATATCCTTGTCGGAAAGTTTGTGCAAGACATTGTCCATTACTGCGGTCCAGCCTTCAGTATCCTCCGGCGAGCAGAGCCACCCGGTCTTGCCTTGCACGACTGTTTCGAGTGGTCCTCCAGTGTTTGCAGCTAAGACGGGTACCCCAGCCAGCATTGCTTCCAGTGGAACAATTCCAAAGTGCTCGTTCGAGGGGGTGTATACAAGGAGGCGAGCCGACTTGAGAAGTATATCCTTCAGCGTGTTAGGCACAGATAAGAGGAACAAAATGTCAACATCTTCGGGGACATTTAGTGCTGTAACGACGGTCTTCGTGGTTGCGGTCTTGAGACCTAGGGATTCGGCTAGTTGGACTAGGTCCTTGTGATAGACAACATTTTCTGACACACGATTGTCATAACCACCTGGTGCAGCAGGTTAGTGATAGGCTTTGTATCTCCCGCCAATATCGCTTACCTGCAAGAAGCAACATAACCCCTTCTCGACCTTTCTTGCCCAAACCGGCGTATGCTTTGATCGCAAGGCCAATATCCTTCTTCCGCTCAAACCGATTTATGCTCAACAGAATACGTTTGTCCTGCCAAGCCGCAACAGGCCCATCTATAATCTCATTCTTCTTCTCCTTAATATCCACACAAGGATACACAATTTGCAAGTCCTTCTCCGCCACCAGATCCGGCCACACTCTCCCGACAATGCCTTTCGTGAACCCGGAATTGACAGCTACCGAGTCGGCGAAACTCATACTCCATTGTTCGATAAAATCAAAGGGTATTCTGTACAGCCGTTTCCACCATGCTGATCGACCTTGCGCCAGCAGAAGATCCGGAAAATGGCAGTAGAATAGTATGCGCGTTTCAGGGTACAGGTATGCCAGCCAAGGCACGCCGGCACTCAACTGGTCGACGAAGAAGGCATCCGGCTTCAATTTGCTGAGCTCGGAGTTGTGGTATGTTGCGATAATGATATGGAGCTGGCGAAGGATTGCGCATAGGATGGAGAATCGGGAGAAAATGGAGGCGGGAATCAACCACTTGCCACGAACGCGCACATCGAGAGTACCTGATATATCCCGTCAGCTTACCTGACTTTACACAGCCAATTCTCCATACCATCTCGAGCTTCATCAAAGCAGTGCTTGGGATCGCAGTGGCTGGTAAAGATAACGACTTTGTGCCCGCGGTTCTGAAGTCCTACAGCTGCATCGATAACCAATCTTTCAGCGCCGCCGATACCCAGATCGGGGTGAAAGAAGACTATGCTCTTCTTCTTTTCCACTTCTGCCGCCATTGTTCTGATGGAAAGGGATCAACGGAGGGGAGTGTGTTCTTCCTGACAGATTATCTGGCGGTTTCGAAGCACAAACGAATCCATCGCAGCCTCGCGCTAAGATTGACCGGTCATACTGGTATTACTCGTGCGGCCAGCATACCGTAGTAACTCATAAGAGTCGACCTACGCTAGCCGTTTAGCGTCTTTGGTAAGCAAGGGGGATTAATGGTTACGCCGCTCCGAGAAGCGGCCGCATATCAAAATCCTAAATCGCGTTTGGTGCAATCCGTTTGCACTGAATATTTGACCTTGTTATTTGCAACCGTCAACGTGTATATAATTATTTAGAACTAAGGTTGCTAAACAAAAGCTCGGTCCTGAATTAACTATAAGAAAAGCACATGCGTTGGACTCTTCGAATGCTTCATTATATAGTGAGCGCGCTCCTTGAGCACGACCTGGAAAGAAGCGTAAGACATGGGCTCAATATAAAGCTGGAATAACCTATTGCAGTATATACAACTCGACTTCTTATTATATACCCGAAAGTATATTAAGCTAAAGCACGAAAGGTAGACGTGATATTGCTTATCTATTTTTATAAGATCGCACGGAAAATCCTATTGCCCGCCTATCCGAAGCGCGACCGCCTTGCTGCTCGCAAACGATAGAATGACGCTGTAAAAGCATATGTATAATACGAATACGTTTCTCTCATATGAAAACAAGCTGCTAAGTATATCTTAGAAGATCAATGAAACTGCGATTAAAAAGTAATGGAAAGAGCCAGATAAGATTCTTAGTTTGGTAAGAGCATCTCGCTTAGGACCAACTTCATATGCTGCATTCTTCGGTAACATTTATTGCTTTATGATTGACTGATAATAAACGGTATTTATCGCAAAGACTTAATCGCGAGGAAAGCATGTCGTCCTACCAGGAGCGGCGTGACCATTTATCCACCATGCTTGCCAAGGACGCTAAACGGCTAGCGTAGGTCGACCCTCACGAGTTACTACGAAGTACTGTATGGTACAGTATCTGTCCCCATGTCGAAAATCGTCCTAAATTCACCGGTACAACGCGGAGTCAAATTTCTTAAATATACGCGTAGTCAATCACACCGAGCTTCACAGCCTCTTTCTCCGGTTTAAACAAGATCAACGCATGGGGACAGATATGCTGGCCGCACGAATACCTGGCTAGCTTTTTAGCACTGGGAAATTTGCAAGGTATATTGGAAACGTCTGTTTTTTTTTGGCCAAATCCCATTAGTTTGCCGACTTATCCGGTACGTGAGTTCTAGTATACAAATCTAATATACTACTACAAATCTAATATATAAGTCTAATATAAATCTAAATTATAATGTATAACTATATTATGTAATTCTAATTAATCAATGTTTCTAACATATAATTGACGAGCCATTCCCTTCCGATTGTGCTACTTAAGTCACCTAGAGTCCGGACTTCCAGGATGTCCTTTAATATTCCAAGTTTCCCATTTAATAGGTTCGGCCGAAAATTCCCTCAGCTCAGCTTCTGATGCAAAGCATTTAGCCCATAAATCCAATCGATCATCGTCATATACCACTCTCATTGGGATAACCATTTGCAGTTGCCGCTTCCTTCCTTCAACCCATGAGAAGCGCAGCGCTTTATTGGGCTCATCAGCTTGACCCCATGGCCAGCGCAGCGTTTGCTTGAGCCTTGACAATACTTGTTGTGACTTGATGTACTCTACGAGGACTTTTTCGTCTTTGCCCCATAGTCGTATTCGCCCTGAACCACCACGCGAAGTCTGTTCTTGCGGAAGAGTATCATCCGAAGTCTCTGGTTCATAAAATTTCGGGATATAGACTTTGTCGGCTTTTTTCAACTTCCACTTTCTCGCTTTGATAGCACAAAACCAAGTGCCTTCTCGATTCGCCAAGCCCTCAGGTTTGTTTCCTATTTAAATTATTAGCTCCGCGTAATAAGTAAGCATTTATACAATAGATCAACTCACTCATATAAATGCCATCTCCTAAAGGATTAATGGATCGGATTTGCTGTATATAAAGCTTGTTGTTTTTATTGATATCCCGAGCCTGATCCTATAATTCGCGTGATTAGTATAAGCTTATGCTGTATAAATCAAGTGAAACTTACACTAGTAACTGCTGTATAGCCGATAACTATTTCTTTGCGCCAAAACATGGCTTGAGCTTCGTTGAAGAAAAAGCTCAGGATCATTAAGATCGCAAAGATAGACTTTGATCGTGGCATCGTCTTTATAGTTAACGAAGAGGGATAAGCTTGCAAAGGAAGAGAGAGGATGATGAATTGAATCTGAAGCGATGAGTTGAAGCCAAAGCAGAAGAGATGCAAGAAGAAATATATATCTCTTTCAATATCGTTTTCGAAATTATTACGTCAACTATAAATAATCGTACGGCTAATAATAATCGGCGCACTGGCCATTAAATTTGTACCACGGTACAGGCGTAAGTATTAACCCGGGTGCCTCAAAAGTTTAGTTTCCACTCTAAACCCCCTGGTTTCCCTACCCTCGAGGGGTAATACTTACGCCTGCGACGTAGTATCTTTATTCTTGCATTATTCCTGTATAGAAAATCTTCTTAATTATCAACTATTTGTAGTATTGCAATCTTACTTTCCAATTTGTAATAAAAGGTCGGATTTGATCGGGTGCTTGAATAATTTCGTGCGGCCTGTTGACAATCAAATAATTATCTCTCGATCCCTTGCATTCCTCCCTCTTCCCGCTCATCTCCATCGCATGATCGTGAAGGAGCGTACAGAATTCAGCGGGTCAAATTTAGCTGAATCGATTGATTTTAATAATTAATCGACGAAAGCGTTGACGTTCGTAAGGTGGTAGCGACACAGAGGAAATATGTTGGCACGGATTTATTAAATTATGATTAAAGCGGATCGTATCCTATTATAAGACGGTCTAATCGTCGGTTACCTTGAATTTAATTTGTAAAAAATCCCGACCTGGCACCACCAAGGCGGGACACCCAGCGAGGCGGGACAGCAAGGCGGGACAGCAAGGCGGGACAGCAACGGTATACCACTTACCACGGTACAGGCCTAAGTATTACCCCTCGAGGGTGCCTTAAAAGTTTAGTTTCCACTTTAAACCCCCTGTTTTCCCTACCCTCGAGGGGTAATACTTACGCCTGCGACGTAGTATTAAACAACAACTATTAATATAAATAAACTTATATGCTTAGAAAACTTTGTTTTAAAAATGTAAATTGAAAATATAAAGATGCATTTATTTTTGGTGATATAATACATTAAAATGTAATGAAAATATAGCTAAAAACTGTCCAAAATAATTCAAATTCACTTGTTTGCTGCGAATATCTTAATAAGAACAGCCTTAATAAAAAAACGTCACATAGATCGAACATAAATGATTTACTTTATTCTACTACCATAAGTAATAAACATCAAATAAAAGTTGGTAATAATGCACGTATTTTTTTAATAGGTTTAAATAAATGTCCGGTTTTAATGTTCTTCTTTTATTCTAGTAAAGGGCTACGATTCTTTACTTGTACGAGGTGCCCTTTACGAACCTTTAGCTCTTTTTCTTTTTTTTTCTTGCGGTAAAAAGAAAGATAAAAAGTCTAAAGAGCCGAAATTGAATCATCGATATGCGACGTCTTTTCGAAAAGATTTTCTTTTACCGGCGATTCCGAACCTTTTTTTTTTTTTTCTTAAATACTACGTCGATTACGATTTATATTTAACGGGCATACCGATTGAAAAGATTAAAAGAATTTGCGATAAAAAAGGAACGTATATAAAAGATAAGATGAGAAAGGCTTAGTTCGATTAATCGAAAACACGGTATTGCGCTTTCGAAAAAGCGTTTTGCAAATACACCGGCTTTATTTATGTTGTTGTTGTTGTTGTTGTTGTTGTATTTATTAACGTCGGGCGGGTATCCAAAACGCAATGCTTGGACTTTGGGGACCTCTTATGGGGTACGGCGACGTGCTAAGTAAAGGAATTATATACAAAGTACTATCTAATCGAGAGTAAAAACCACGTTGGGGAAAACCTCTCGTCAAATAGCTGAACACTTGTAAAACCCTTAAAAGCAATTCATAATAATGTGCATCGAGTTTTCTCTCGACAACTGTCGAATACGTGTGGCCTTACGAGCGGCCTCGATCCGTATAATACAAACATCGTTCTCTTTCGTCGTAGAGCTAAGAAGGCTCGCGTTCGTAGCCCTTGGGTAGAGCCGGTGTGTTTGCAGAACGCTCTTTCGAAAGCGCAGTACCGTGTTTTCGATCAATCGAACTAAGCTCTTCTTATCTCATCTCTTATACACGTTCCTCTTTTATCGCAAATCCTCTTAGTCTTTTCAGTCGGTATGCCCGTCAGGTATAGATCGTAGTCGGCGTAGTATTCGAGAAGAAAGAGGAGAGAGGTTCGGAATCGCCGGTAAAAGAAAAATCTTTTCGAGGAGACGTCGCATGTCGATGATTCAATTTCGGCTCTCTAGAGTCTTTATCTCTCTTTCTACCGCAAGAGAAAGAAAGAAAAGAGCTGAAGGTTCGTAAGGGGCACCTCGTACAAGTAAAGAATCGTAGCCCCGACCGGCTTTATTTAAAAGCTACGAACGTAAGCTTTTTTAGCTTTACGACGAAAAAGAAAGATGTTTGTATTATACGGATCGAGGCCGCTCGTAAAACTATACGTATTCGACAGTCGTCCAAAGAAAACTCGACGTATAGCATTATAAATTGCTTTTAAAAGGTTTATAAATGTTTAGTTATTTAACGAAAGGTTCTCTCAATGTAGTTTTTATTTTTAATTAAATAGTACTTTAAATATAACTCCTTTACTTAATACGTCGCCACACTTTATAAGAGGTCCTTAAGGTCCAAGCATTGCGTTTTGGATACTCGCCCGACGTTAATAAATACAATAACAATAATAATAACAACAACTTTTATTCTAGTATTTACGCGGCAATTCTGATATATACCTACGCATTAATAAAATCGAAAAGTACAAAGCAAAAGTACCATTTTTATTACTTTCACTCAACACAATAAAATAAAGAATAACTTGTAATTAAAATTCGACTAATTGATTATTAATATCAAACTCAATGCGGTGCGTCGTCTTATACAAAAATAATTACTATATAATGGCTGGTTGATTTTCTACCTATTAAAAAGGAGCATATTTTACTGTCCCGCCTTGGTGGTGCCGACTTGCTATAGCAAGTCGGTCAGTTCTTTCGAATTAGAATTAAAGAAACCGGAGATTAGGTGCGATCTTTTTGTAAATTACCGTACATTGATAATCTCACGTTAATAGATACTGAGCGCACTAAATCTTTAAACAGATAATATTGTGTTAAAGATTATACCTCGTTACATATGATCATTAGACCATCTTCAAAAATTAAGACTAAGTGACATAAAGGTATAGCTAAAAAAATTGATCGGGGACGATGAACCCACCTGCCTTTAAGGTAATGTCACTGAGAGCCCGCAGGTAAACAGTCAGCGCACTGACTATTATTATCTGGACCTTTGCGCAGGTAAGAAAGGGACCCATTCCGTAGGCATTAATTCAGCCTTGCAGGCAGACCTCAAAGTGCCATGAGATCTAAGGTAGGACAATCAGAGAAAGACAATTTTGTTATTCGGAAGCTGATATCCAGACATGCTTATTTCCATCCTTGCATAGATAAGAAAGATCTGTCGAACTCAAAGTGATTAGTAGGTAACCAACCGCCGGTCCTCAAGAAAACGGGGCCGAGGTCCACGTCCAGCCCATCATCACACATGCCGGATTAGTATCCTCAACCTCGCCTCCGAGGAGCTCCAAGGAGCCGAATTATAGAAGCTATCCAAGAAAGCCATTTATTTCCCTCGAAACCCTTTCAAAATGGCAGCCTCCCTCTTTACAGTTCCAATTATCAACCCTTCATCCCCCAAAGCCTCCCCCTCAGGAACAGTAGTCTGCAGCTCCCCCTCTGCAGGCATCTACATCCTAACCTTCACCTCACCCCCGGACAACCGCCTCCTAACCTCCTTCTTCCAATCGCTGCTCCTCGCCTTTGACATTCTCGAGTTCTCATACCCGCCCGGCTGCGTCATAACCACGTCCGGAGTCCAAAAATTCTACAGCAACGGCTTGGATCTGGAACATGCGTCCAGCACCGAGGGGTTCTTCCCGGATAGCATGTTCGCCCTCTTCAGAAGACTCTTGACGTGTGTAATCTCTTATGCCTAGACCTTATTCCCTCCCTCATGCTGAATTGGATCCTTACTGAAATGCTTTCGATGAAACAGATACCCCATGCCAACCGTAGCCCTGATTAACGGCCACGCCTTCGCCGGCGGCTTCATGTTAGCCATGTACCACGACTACCTGATCATGAACCCCTCACGTGGCTATCTCTGCCTCAACGAGCTTGACCTCGGCGTCCCGCTCCAGCCAGCAATGTCCTCCGTCTTCCGTCAGAAACTCGCGCCTGCGGTCTACAAAGCCATGGTTCTGGAAGCGAAACGCTTCTCCGGCGCTCAGGCGCTAGAGGATGGAATCGTGGACGGACTGGGGGGCATGGAAGAGGCGTTGAGGTTTGTGGAGGAGAGGAAATTGATGGAGAAGAGCAAGACTGGGGTGTACGGACTGTTGAAGAAGGAAATGTGGAGGGAGAGCTTGGGGTATCTTGAAAAGGAGGGATATGAGAGGGAGGTGGCGAAGAGTGAGGCGTATTTGAAAAGGGAGGAGGGGAGGAAAGTGGTGGGTGGTAAGAGGGTTGCCGAATGGACGAAGAATGCCGGGAAAGCCAAGTTGTAACGGTAGAATACTGTGTGAGGTATGTGTATGTGAGTACAATCGAGTGGATAGCTGAGGAAGGGAAGAGCTGGGTGAGAAGTGTAAAATAAGGTATCATTTGTCATTAGCGATACATCCAAAAGAAAATACACATGAACTCCAGCCCAATGCCATCAGACCCCAACACCGCGCTATTTTACAACACAACCATGAACCCGTAACACATGATAGCCTGACTCCCACTTGAACAACTAGGCAAAACTGTCTTCCGCTTGCCATACCGGAGAGGGAGGGATCGGTTCAGTTTTAGGCTCGGGAGTTACTGTGTCCTCCGAAGCTTCCTCCACTTGCTCCTCCGAATGCGACTGATTGGGATCATACTCGAAAATACCAACTTCCACCAATGCATCAAAAACCATATCTTTGCGTGTCAGCAAGGCCCGCTCGACATCCAATCCATCGAGAACCCTCATCCGCAAACAGCTGCTCAACACCATAACCTCGAATGTCCGTCGCAACATCCTCGTATCCATGTCTAAGCATGCAACATATCTGACATCTTTCTCTCTGTCCGCTTTGCCAAGAGTGAAAGGCTCGACAGCCGCCTTCTCCTCGTCATTATGAAGTCCGACCATCCGAGATTCTATGATCGGGGGGTAAAATCCTTGCGTTAGTGAATTGTTCCTCAAATCGGCTGTTGTGATGCCTGGAAATTGTGCCAGCACGCATGCCGTTGATCGTAGTCTCACCAGCCTGTTGCCCGCCAGAAGTAGCTTTTTCAGACGCTGAATCCCGATCAATGGCTTGATATCCTTCAAAGCGTTGAAGTTCAAATTCAAGACTCTAACGTTTGTGAACACCTGTCCGAAATCTACCGGAAGAGTTTCCAAGCCACAATTTGCGAGCTCCAAGTATTGCAGGTTGAGGAAATCAGCTTGAGGTTCGAAGGAGCCGAGATAATTGCCAGACAGGAAGAGCTTGCGGATTTCGAAGGCTTCGGAGATGAAGGATGGGTTAATAACAGCACCTTCCTGCTGTTCTCGCATTGACAAACTATCGAGGTACTTTGTCCTCAGAAGACCCGACACCGTTCCGAGGCGGTTTCTATCAAGATACAGAAGGCGGAGATTTGGGAATAGGCTCACATCGATCGCTTCGAGGTTGTTCCCACTCAACTTCAAGTATTTCAAAGTTGACATGGTCTGCGCGGCGTCCATCGAAATGTCGCATAGAGAATTGTCCTCCAAATTGAGAGTCACTAGGGACCGTAACTCCTGGAGACCACGAAGGGTGCAAACTTGATTGTCTTTCAGGTCGAGATCAGTGAGTCGTTGTAAATTGGTGCCCCCCAAGTCGAGAGAACGAACGGAATTTCCTCGCAACCGAAGGCTAAGAAGTCCATCAAGTTGACTTACTCCATCCAAGCCAGAGATTTTGTTATTGTCTGCTCTCAAACTTCTCAAATGAACGAGTGACTTGAATGCTGATAATGACTCCAACCCGTTGTTCGAGACGTCGATGTATTGTAGGTTATGAAGATGCTTCCATGTGACAAGATCGGTGAGACAATTATGCGCGATACGAAGGTGTCGAACTGTCTTCGGTACTCCATCTAGCTGTTCAATCTGGTTGTGTGAGACGTCGAGTTCTTCTAGCTCCTCACAGAATTCATCGAGCTTATGGATGTTCGTGAGCCTTTTGTCCTTGAGAGTGAGTTCCTTCATGTGCTCCCAGAATGGTTCATAAGGTTCCACCTCAGTGAGTTTCTCAACCAGCCCCTTTATCGACAGGGAGAGTGTTTTCTTCGCATCGTTGCCAAGAGCGAATCGACTTCTTTGCGCGACATAACTGACATCAAGCCCGAGAGACTGATCAGCTTGGTGCACAGTGAAATCAGAGAGAGGCGTTAGAGTAAGAGTTCCAATTTCATGACTTGGGCGGGGTGTTACAAGAGTGGCATTCGAAGACTGTCTTGGAGCGACGGGTGTCGACACAACGATGCTGATACTTCTCCGTTGGCGGTCTTTGGCATTTTCTATGATCGAATCTTCATCTTGCTCGTCAATTCGTGAAACAGGCCGAGCTTGGAACTTGTGACCGCCCACGGACATGCGGCGAGAGGTACTTCTTATAGCACTGCGGATCTTGGTTGAAATATTTCTCTGGCTAGGCTCGGGGTCATTTTTCGCGACAATGATGCTGTCTTCACCAACACTATTGTCAACATCTTGTGCAGAGTGACCGGCAGCTTCGACATCCTGTTCAAAGCTACTGTCGACGTCGTATCCAGGAGCTTGAATGACCGATGCAAGGGGCGATGAGAAAGAGATAGTAACGTTGCGTCTCCGTGGGCTGTCTGGATCGACCCGATCCTCATATATCGAAATTTCCCTTTCGACCTCCTCTACAATCTCTTGCTTCTCGGAGTACTCGGTTTTTCGGCTGTGTCTGATACTCTCATATTCGATGGGATCATGTTTTCTCACGGCTGACTTGGTAATGCTTTCAGGGAGGCCGAGTTCTGGTACAGATTGAGCGACCTTGACTGGCTCCGGTGATCGTTTCTGCTCCTGAATCTGCGATAGCTGCCTAGGAGGAATGAATTGTGGTTGTGTATAGAGTTTCACCCCACTGAATTGCCCATCTTCTCGGGTTTCCTGGGCTAACCTCTCTTCTTGTTTGAGCTTGGCTGCTACCGCTTTGATTCTTTGCAGCTCTTGCGTCTCATCGACAGAAAGATCAGGTATGTCACCAAACGGGTCGTCATCCGTCTCGTCGGATGGAATAAAATTCTTAGCACCATTCTCAGCGCTGGCACTCTTGCTCTTGATCCACTTCTTGCTCTCATGATCAAACACCATTCCGGCTAGTTGTTCTGGTATCAGGTGAGAGACGGTGTGGGGAGCGATGACACGACGTGAGTCTGATCCTCTCGAGGAGCCCGTAGGAATAGACCGCGCTGTCGATTGACCTGAAGAGGCCGAGGAACCATGGGAAGGAAATTCAACATCGTTTCGATCCCCGTCACCAGTGTGTATCGTTGAAGTTGAATGCTTGCGCTTCCGATATAAATCTGGATTTTCTGATATTCGAATATTTGGCGGGTCACTCTCCGTAGTGCCTGGATTCAACGACTGCATGGATAGCCTATGGATAGTCTCATCCGTTCTACGATCAAGATCTTTTGCCTCATCAGCGGCCTCTTTGGCCATTGCAATAGATCTCATCGAAGATGCAATGACACCATCAATGTCACTCTTCTCCTGATACTTTCGCAAGTGGTCTAGCAAGGCAGGGTCCTCCTGCTTATGGGGCAGTCGTGACACAGGCTTTCCGTCTCGACTTGGTGGTCTGGAAAATGGTTCCACGGTGGACTCTTGATATGAATCATCAAGCTCCTCCAGCCCACCACTAAGCTGGGGACCGCTCTCGGTGGATTTGGCGCGATCGTTTTCTGATTCCGACTCTTCCACGCTGGCCAAACCGCTTCTTGGTCTTGTCTTGTCACGAATGCCTGCCATAATCATCTTTGCTTCATCCAGGAAGTCTTGGGTAGTAATAGAACCCTTACGACTGTCATCAAGCATGTTTTTGCCGACTCCAAGAGTTGCAGAATTTTTGAACGGTCCGGTAGCATCAAGTTCTGCTTGTATCTTGGCTATCTTCTGCTCCTGCAGCAGTCTCGCTTGCTCAGAATTGGTCAACTTCGCTTCTAAAGACGGTGCACGTTCATGCTGTAGACTACTACGTTGACTCGGCGTTGGTGTTCGCGGCCTAAGAATTTGACGCATAGCAAGCACTGTCGGATTCGCTGCTTGCTGATCGTCACCGTGCTTTGCATCTTTTCGTTTCTTCCCTACCACAGATTGCATTTGTTGGTGAGTTTCCCTCAGGGAATCTAGATCACTCAAAATCTCTTTTTCGTCGGCGTGCACACTATCGACACTATCGACACTATCGACCCTGTTCAAAGTCCTCCGACGTTTTGGAGTTGGGTCCTTCAAAGGTGTTTTAGGAAGTCGCTTACCTTCCGAGTCGCCGTTCCGCTTCCTCGGTGTCTTGAGATCTTCTGGTTCATCTGGACTACTGTTTGGACTCTGAGAGCTGCTGCTTTCTGGTCGAACACTATTTCTAATGCTTGCAGTTTGTCGCGTCGAACTGGTGATGGTCGTGTACTTGGCTCGATGATGGACAGTTGCATCTTCACTTAGATCCGGCGAAGGCTCGAGTTGAAATTTGAATGAGGTCTGGGTATGACGGTTGAGAACTGGTAAGGCGACGTTTTCCTGTTCTCCGTCTTTGAATTCAGCTGAATTGAAAGATAATCCTTCGCTAAACTGGAAGCTGTCTAATTCACCTGCCCCAAAACTGCTCATCTTTCGTTTTGATTTTCGTTTTGGAAGACTGTGATTTGAATGTTTATCCGTCATCGGCTCAAAAGCGTCGTTCGTCCCAGGACGGTTTGGTTCTTGAGTCTGTTCAGGCAAGTCATCGCCACTATGATCAATATCGCCCTCGAATTGACTAAGCCTTCTCAGCAACTTCTGATTGGTGAAAGTATCATATGTACCGAAAATCTTCAGTGGGCTGCCTGAATTGCTTTTACTTTTCGTCGGGCTCTGTTGAGGTGTTCGCAGCTCTGTAGCTGGTATTTGATCTGGCTCGGCGGCTTGATGCTCGTTGGAAATCCGCGTTTTCCGAATGTTAGGGAGCTTTTTTGGTGTGATAGCCTGCATTGAAGATTCCGGCATCATCACTGATTCGTCGACAGCCGAAAGAGAGGACGGGCTTAACATGCGTTTTTGAAATGAGCCCTCCTGAGATTGACCACCCCTCCTCAGGTTGACAAATCGACCATTGTGAGCAAAGTCGTCCGTGCCAACAGTCGTGTCTAACGGAGCTGCTCCCGAAATATCATCTACATCCTGATCCGAATGGCCAGGGGTACTCCCACGAATACTGGCAAGTTTTCTCTCCAATTCGTCCAGAGGAAGGTTCAATGCCGCATAGTCTATTTTTCCGTCCGCGGTATTGTGACGTGCAACGTAAACAGGGCTGAATTCCTCATTACGCATATCGATCTGTCCACTGACAGTTCGACCTGGGTCCTGGAGGCGCAAGGCTGATGACTCCGGCTCAGATATGGAATCAGAGCGCATGTTTACATCCTGACTTTGCCGGAAAGATATCTTGGAGGGCTGAAACATGCTACTCTGGCTCAAGTCATTCACCGAAAATTCGCTTCCGCCTTGATTTGCAAGCCTATAATTCATGCCTCGTGGCTGCTGCCGATCTTGAGTGCCTTGTGGTTCCTCGTCCATAAATTGGCCGCTCTCCTGCCCACGGTCCTTGTGGTACGGGGGAGGGCTCGATGGCATGGCTATGCTACCGTCCTCAGGTGTTTGCGCCGCTCCCAATTTGCTCGGTGACATCGATTGAGTGGGGGGAGGCCGGAACATGTTTTCAAGGCCAGCGGGACTGAAGAGGTCGCACTGCTCTCCGTACGCAACGTCTCCATGAAGGAGGCGTCGTTTCCACTCCGGGGTTTCGTGTATTCCCTTTTTCGGAGACAGACTGGCAGATTTATGCTCAACGGTATGGTACTGCACTGATTGGGTCGTAGATGCCGAGAATGTCCGTGACAAACGTCGTCCACGGGTGCCGTTGCTGATCTCACGAAGTTTTGACTGCCGACCTTGCACGCGCTGCGATAAGGGGATGTTCGTTTCGTTCGTGCTCCGCTCGTTCAGCGGGCTTTCTTCACAGTTCTGAGGGGCGGTCCATGTTTGCCGCCGTACGTTGTATTTCGGTATGCGACTCGACGCGGCCCGCGTTTTTTGGGAGGAGTCGGAGGTGCTTTTCGAGAGTGACGGTAGCGAGGGCGCAGGAGATCCAGAAGAGCGCGGCTGAGAGACCCAATCTTCGGACAAAGAGTCTAGCCATGCATGATCCATTGCGACAGACTTCGAGTTGGGTTTGCAATGGGTTACGGCCGTGCCATGAATGCGACTGTTGCAGTCGAGTACGAGAGGTCGTCGGCGGGGTATCGAAGTACAGTAAAAAAAAGATGCAGTCGGGTAGGGCGAGAAAATTGAAACTCAGAATAAGGGAGAGAAATGAATAGCTGGTGGATTGGGATAAGGTCCGGGCGATCGACGCGGTTTTGTTGTATTTTCTTTTCGATGCCTCACGCGCTCGCTGGTGTTGGTTGTATTCTCGAATCATCACCGTGCCAACGTAAATACTATTAGCTCGAAATAGACCCCTCACATGTTTACCTAGGTACCTCTTCTCACATAAGAGGTCCGTTCTCCTGGAGATCGGTTCTTTAAGTGGCTCAGTAGTATTCTTACTAGAATCCGCATTTATATTCCTTTATTTATGTAGATCTTGCCTTGCGATATGAGAAAATGCATATACGACATTATAAATATCGCCGTTATTGACAGAAAATATCTGGGTAGTTCTCAGGGACTGTCCTTTCCCTATTGAACCGACCGAGCAAGCCACAAACACGTCCTTGTATGAATGGACAACGTAAGTGTTGCACCGATCTACGGTAGATAATCAATGTCCTGCAGACTATCAAATCAGAGTTTCCCTTAATCCCGAAGCCAATCCAATACCTTCCGTGACACTTTTTCCATTCAGCTTTGCACACTACGGACCACCACTTTACACGAGATTGCACGAAACACGGAACACGTCCCTCGGCCAACGACAATCGACTTCAATCAGCGCTCTACAACCCGCTATCCAGCTCGATGTAGCACCGTGAGGTGCCCTATAATTGCGCCCCGGTCAACTCAACATGAAGCAGTGCCAGAGCTCCTACGATTCTGCGGAGGTAGAGGAGGAACCCTACTACTGCTCACCGGTCTGCGCCCCAGATGATATTCTCTGCTCAGGTTCAGACGCAGAAGACACCCCAGACGAGGTTCACAAGAAGCATCTGCGTTACGAGGCAGCGGCCCAAAGAGTAGCAACAGGTCACTTACCGGCAATACTATCTGCGAGGTTGAAAGGGCCGTTTTCGAAGGAGGGGGGATGGATCAATCCCTGGAGGTACAGGCCCAAGAAGAAGCAAGATGATGCATGGTGGCAGCCTGGCTCAGAGGATATGCTGTTTACTCGCGCAAATGTGATGAAGAGAGCGGCAGCGCATGGTTTGGGTTATTTGACTCCAGCGGATGCTCTTCGGTGGTGCAAAGATACGGCAAAAGCTGAGGCAGATGCTATCATCGAGACGAATATCGCAAGCGGAGCACTAGTGAGATCCGTTGAGCGAGACGAGTTCAATGACGATGAAGAGGGGGAAGAGAACCTGCCCGCAATAGATAATCGCCACCAAGTATCAACGAAACACAGACCGAAAAGTTCGGGACCAGCCTCGTCCGCCACGCACGATCTCTCGATGCTCAATAACTTCGGCAAAACACCACATACTGATGAAGTCCTGGAAGCAAATACAAAACTCATGAAGCGGGCAGCAGACTCACAGTGGCTTAAAGGATCGTACGTATCTAAACGGGCTCGATGGGAGGGTGCAGCCGTGGATTCGCCAACACCGCTTCCTGATGTGCTGGACCGAAACCGGCGGAGACGCCAATTACCTACCAAAGTTCCAGGCCTGGGAGGAGTGGGAGCTCATTGCCCGTCTCGTTTTTCAGCGGGATCCCCAGGCATACCCCAGGGCGCTCGAAAACCACAGCTGCCCACTCATCAGACTCCACAGCAAGCCACAGGGTCTAAGGTTCGGGCTGACCATGAACCTGTTGCCATCTTTGGTCTTGCAAACAGGTCATCACAGCTTGGACAACTAGATTTCGACAGCCAGGAGGATGATATTGATGAGCTCCAGAGCATATCACAGGAAAATGATCATCGAACCACTTCGCGAGGGTCTAGTATCAAAGCACGGAAGACTTCAAGGAACTTGGGAGACCGTTCATTTTCTGATCTCGAGCCGGATGATCTGATAGCTATAACACCTGGTACCAAGCAAAGTCACAGAATGCAGTCCAACACCTTGCAAAGGTCACACACATCGAGCTCAAGGCCTTATGAACTACCAACACTTCCGCGAAGAAAGCCTCGCCCGGATTTGAATAGATCTTCACATGAAGAAGAAGGCAGCTTTGTTACGGAAGTTGCGCCGTCTTCTAGGAATCTGGAAAAATTTCAGTTTAGGAGAAGAACAAGATACACCCAGCAACCGAAGAGCGAAGCGACCACGAGGGATTCCATCAAAATAGAAGACGATGAGAGTGTAGCCTCGGGCGAGTCGACACAGCAGGCGCATGAAGCGCAGAATATACTATCCAAACCAATGGAATTACCGGAGATTCCTTATACACATCCCGTATTACCAGTACAGCATCCACTAGGCTTAGCTGAAGTCCCTCCGATTCTTGGGAAATCAGACAGCCAGACAACACCTCCCCGAAGCGACAAATCTCTTAGCTGGGACAAGAATCATAATGGACAAGCACCGTCTCTTTCACAGGCAGCGGAGAGTTCTCACCCTCAATCTCCTCCCAAGTCCAACGCTTCTGCAATTGATACGCCTGTACCCAAACCTAAAAGGGCCGGTCCGCCCCGTTCTCCTTCTGTGCAAAACGATAATTTGACTACCCCATTGCAAGATCACACGATTGCCATGGATTTCGTTCTCGGCTTGCCAGACATACCCCCTGCGAGCCCGTGGAAAATGCCTGGGTTTGACGACTTCAATCTCTCCCAAAGGTTTAGAATGTCTCTTCAAGGATCTCCAAAACCGACTCCGCAAAAACGTCCAGAACGGGCTCAGAAGCTTCTGGGCATCAATGGCCTGGCCAAATCACCGCCTCCAATAAGACATATTCCCCGAAACCCCCCCGAGGAGTCTCCAAGGCTTCAGGCGATCACCAAGTTGGCCGAGTCATCGCAGAACATGTACGATTTCAGCACTCAATCCTACAATACCACTCCGCCAGGATCTTTACCTGCTGCTGGGCAGACTCCCACGTGTCCCTTAATCGGACTGGACACTAGAGAAACGGAGAACACTACGGGCATAGAGGACGTGTCTACCGACGAGATGGCCAGAATCCAGATAGAGCTGTCACAGATCTGTTCCAGCTCTAGCCATGGTGGGGGCCCTCATAGCAGCCCGAGGCAGGCGTCTCAAGACTGTCCGCACGAATATTCAGTGGTGGTCGAGCAGCCTTCGAGGCCACAGTCAGACATTATCCAGGGCTCTACACCCACAGGCCGTGCCGGATCTCAGTCAAAGGAGCAATCTTCGGTAGAGATAAATACCGCCGGACCGGTCTTGGAAACTACTAAAATCGTTACCGCTGGATACGCCATGTCTTCCGTAGAAAGTGACGGAGAGAAATTTCATTCGTCATCCGTCTTGGTACCCCTGGCGGGCGAGGACACAATTACCCCTCCAGAATTAGCCTCAAAGGCAGATGTGGAGATCCCTGAGTTGAGCGACCATATCCAAGTAGAGTCCGATGCCGCTGCCTTGCCAGATGAATCGCCCGATCGCGATGCCGATGGACAGGAAAGAAACGAGCCCTCTGCCGATTTTGTACAACCCGAGCCTGATGTCAACGAACATCAGACTAGACAATTCGCTGTTGATATGGAGCCCGAGCTGGATGTTAATGGAGGTGCCGGTCAGCCCATTTCCGGCGCCAGTCCACGTTCGGAGTCAAGCTGGGAAGGGTGCAGCCCGCAAAGCCCCTGGGCAGCGGAAGGCTTGAAGGCACTATCGATGAATTCGGTTGAGCAGCCAGACCAGGACATGACCTTCCAAGCACATGAAGGATACTCCCAGGAAGCATCTGTTGCGCGATCTGTTGCAACATCGGACCGGGAGACATTAGCCTCGGGCTGGGAACATATCCAGCGACCACGGACACCTCGTAGAGATTCTACTGTATCATCGCAAAGCGATAACTCCAAAGCCTGGGAAATCACAGAGCGACCGCAGACACCTGACGATAGCGGCATCACACCTTTTGAAACTTTCGCTTCTCCAGCAAGATCTCCCGAAAGAAGCACAGCTGACCCGGGCAATAATGACTTGATGAATACCCAGACCATTGTGGAAGCAGCGTTGAAGAATCCATGGACAAGTGTTACAAAGAACACATCAGTAGCCAAAGCCAAGAAGCGGGTATCTTTTGGCGTCTTAGAGGAGGAGGAGGATCCTACGGAGCACGAACAGACCCGGTTTGCCGTGCGATTTTCTCCTCCCCCACAAGCAGCGCATGACCAGCATGATGAAGAAGATATCTTCCACGATGGAACAGTCATAACAAATACTTTCCGTAAACACTTCGTGGCGGTCACTCGACCAGGAGTATTCAAACGTATTTTACCAGAACACAAAGCTTCTCAGCCAACCAGCAGCCCCGGGCCAGAAGCACAAGCAGAGGCCTTCCTTGCAGCTGATCACAACTTATCTGAAGGGCGAAGCTGGTCGATAACTTCCAAGCGTGTTTCCTCTCACTATCTGGAGACTCGAGGCGATTCAAACAGCAACATATGGAATGAGTGCGAGAAAGACGACCCTATGCTCATGAACCCATTCGCCATGACTCCAAAGGTGAGGAGCACGAATTCCGCATCGAGTTTCAACATGGACGATGTACTCGGGGCTGCCGCAGACTTTCTAGGAGATTGGTCTGTGGATTCTGAGCTCAAGAAGGCCAAGGAGCCGCAGGAAGAGGCGCGAAGGGAGCCACGAATGCGTGGGAGTACTGGCACAGGGCATAGAAGGAGGAAGCTGTTTGGACTGGTGTAGTAGATAACGAGCTTGCGCAGAAGATCACAATGAATGTGGGATTTTGGGAGAGGGCTTATTCTTAGCTGATAGGGTAGCAGGTAGCATGGGCATGGGCATGGGGAACAGGTGCTACGGAGTTTGACTTGACATGATACCCCCGATGGATGTTTATGGACATTTGTAGTTAATGAAGCCGATGCTGTTGCATATGATACTTGCCTCTGTCTCCGGCTGGTTGGATTGTTCAGACGAGGTATGTAGCTGCTGAGTGACCAGCGTAATGAGCGCTTCGACTGCTCTAACGATATAGTATCTCGTCAAGGTGGATCCTTGTGTCTCTCCCGGCATTGCCCCATGGGACTCCATCAACAATTCATCAGTGCAACTACGTCTTGGACCTCTACCGCCGGCAGACGGGACGTACCCTGTGGAGATTTGTGGTAATAGGTCATACGGAGCTATGTAGCTACCTGCCTGCCTACCTAACCTACCGACCTAGCTATCTACTCTCTGCACCACCGACAATGTCAATATCAAGAGAGGCGGTCAGCGAGGATCAGTTAATGATGTTTTTAATTTCTTCTCTTTGAGCCCGCCCGCGTTGCGTATTGATACCGGTAGGTTGCTATCGAGAAGAAGATCCATTTGTTTTTGTACCCAGCGCACTGGCCTGACGTTCTCTCCTAAGGCTGGGCCACGAGGTACCGGTACGGTATCTGATGATAGTCAGGGGTTTAAGTTTTTAAAGTGTGGCGATGCCAGAATCTGGGGGGGCCGTCCTGGTACTTGGGTACGGGAATTTGGCCAGGCCTGGTGGGTGCTCAATGATGAAACATTGACGTGCAAGTCGCGACTGCATTTACCTACCAGTCTGTACCTTACTACTACTGCTGCTACTGCTACTGCTACTGCTACTACTACTTCACAGATTTCCCTCCCTCACTTGCCAACCAACACCCAACAACCAACAACCAACAACCAACCAACGACCAGACCACCCCTCTACATCTACATCTACATCTACACCTACACCACCTTACCCAACCAATACATACTCCTTCGATCTCGGGCAACCTGGGTAACACGGAGTCTGTGTCGAGCCGCTGTGGTGGTTTTGAAAACAACAACTCCCTCTGCAGATTACTACCCATTGAAGCCCCGTACCTGCGAATCAATCCCTCCCACATTGCAAGGCGACTCGATAGATGAGCTCCTCATGTCAAGTTCGTCCCTAGAGCCCGAAAATGTCGCGCCCACCGCCGCCACGACGCCCGAGAGCAATCAGAACCAAAGCAGGCCGTGGAATCTACCTCCACGAGTCCAGTCCAGCTCCTTGTTGACACAGGCACTCACCACGAACTACGAGACGGATGAGCAATTAAAAATCCCCTCTACTCAATCGCCAGATACATATTCACCGCCCGTGCAATCCTCACTACCTCACAATGACACCGAGCGCATTGCCATGACCAGTATTGAAGGCGGCCTTTCGTCAAACATTACTGTAAATACAGGCCACATACTGCCAGGAGATTCAGCAGGAGATATGACTACAGCCTCGACCCTGTCCAGTTTCTTCGATACGAGAGGTGTTGATTCGCTTCTCATGAGCCACAAGGACCTGTTGAATACCAGCAAAGCGCGCGGGACCTCTTCAGAACGTACAGACAAGGAGAAAAGGATACAAGAACTTCCTAAGGGCATAATCTCGTCAAATTCTGGTGACACTGGTCTCTCACGACCTGCAACTCCTTTGAGACCACCCTCTACTGGCTCAATATCCGCGAAGCCTCCAACCGAAGGGGTCCGCGCAGAGTACCGATCGTGGAGAGATGCTCGCCCCGCCATGGCTGCAGAGAAGGCATGGTCCATCGGAGAGCATGGCAGCCATAATATTCAAGGTGGTCAGGTCGAGAAGTCTATTGCTGAAGCACTTGCCGGTGTCGAACCAAACAACCGGAGCAGGAAAGCAAGTCATAGTCTGCGATTTTTCAAAGAGGGCCTTCCCGAAGACAAGTCTTTCAAGAAGGACTCTAAGAGTAAGGGAACTTCTAAGGAGGGCTTGAGCCGGGGTAAGAGCCCCAATGAGATGAAATTTAAAAGCGGACCTCATTCACCACGCGAAGGTAGCACACCCCATAGCTCTAGCCCATCTTTCGACAATAAGCCAAATCCTTTTGAGCCCATTATGGAGCATGAGGCTTCCATAACATCACATAACTTTAGCCAGCCTTCAAATCCCACAGATGGACTTGCTACTGCGGAAGGCTATTTTGATAGCTCACATAATATCGAGATGGTATCAGAAGAGCAGCTGAAGACCATGCCAGTCCAGCTGCTTGCTGAAATCCGAAAACACCACAATCTGACTCCTGGCGCTACAAAGGGATCCTCTTTCTCACGAAGCATTCCCGTTACTGCCTCGGAGAGACCACAGTCCGTGATTACAAAGTCGGAATCAGCTGGAGAAGGGTCCATTGTAACCCCTAGCGTCGAATTTGAAAAGCCTTCTGACGAACACGACGGAACCAATGTCAAGGTTGCCGACGAGGAAGATGATTCGGGGGAGGAGCAAATATCTTCGGCTCTCTTTGTACCTCACAAGACTCATTATGAATCTCCTGAGCGTGAGAGGCGTATGAGGCTAGGTAGCCTTAGCAATGCTGAGGCCAGCGAGATTAACCCAGAGAATTCGCAATGGTTGGAAGAACATGCAGTCCCCTCTTGTGATGTGGATGGGAAGTGCACAAGCCAGGAGGCTAGATCTGGGCTACAGACGTCGCCTGTAGCCACAAAGCCATCAACTCCACATATCGATTCTGTGGTGCCTCCACCTAGCGCCAAAGCCCCTGCTTACACTGAACGTGATTCTGAAGATGACGGTGGATACACAACGCTTGGGGAAGAGTCTGTTATCACTGACGACGACACGGAAACTACCCCCACTGGATCTTTGAAGGTCAGCAGCCAGGTACCGACCGCGGCCAATCAACGTCTACATGATCACCAGCAAAAGCCGAAGCAACCTCTGGAGACCATCGAACTGATACCCTATCGCCATCAAGTCGGAGGCCATACAACAATGTGGCGGTTCTCTAGGCGAGCGGTGTGCAAGCAGCTGAACAACCAGGAGAACAAATTCTATGAGACTGTCGAATCGCACCACCCGGAGTTATTGAAGTTTCTACCAAGGTATGTATTCCCAATTTCCCCTCTCGTCCCGTGGGGCCGTGAAGCTGAGTCTTATCAAGACACAAACACACCACCTCAATGCCATACTATTCGGAGAAGTTCTATTGCTGACGGAACAACTTCCATTTTGCTTCAGGTACATTGGAGTCCTCAATGTCACGTTTGAAAAGCAAATTCGGCGCAGGTCAACGAAAAAAGAAGACCCTGATGCGGCCAACGAACGTCAAGACCTTGCTCAAAATGAGTTGGAAGATAAGTTCGATGGGGTCGTTCATAACAAAGCTGTCAAAGAGAATGTTCCAGCAGCAGATCAAGAAGAGATGCGGGTCATAAGCCAATCTCTCAATTCTTCTCCTCAGACAATTCCAACCGTCACGGTTGCAGATAATAGGCATATTCTGCCATCAAGCTTCTTGAAGCCTCGCCCCTTAAGTGCTGACTCGAAACTTCCGTCCTTAAGCGACAATATCACCGCACAGACATCGTCAGCACGCAACCTTGGCTCATTCGGCGTTCAGGTTTCCGGCGGCGAGTCTCTTCATCGCCCCGCGCTTTACGACAAGCCTGCTCACAGCTGGGGTGCAACAACAGTTAATAAGGACTTGCGCAATGAGGTGTTTGCTGATGCATTCCTGGGTCAGCCAATCCCAATTCAGAGTTACAAAAAGCCTGCATCTCGAAACCGGACATTGCCTCACCGAAAGGGGTCTACGTTGCGCCCTTCGAACTCCGAATCAAGCTTGCAGACTGCCCAGCAAATCCAGACTGCTTCAAAGCCGGCCGAGGCATCGATTCGGAAGAAGGCGATCAAGACAGCTGCCGAGCGTATGACTGGCTTGACGTCCATGACGGAGGCTGAGGCTGAGGGGACTGGGTCTGATTGCCAGGTCGCAGAGGAGGGAGAGACTGTGTTCGATGAGAAAGCCGGCACGAGTGCACCCGAACCTGAGATAATCCACTCCGACGGCACTCGAGCAAGCAAGCGTCAAAGGCGTTACTCGAGCGGTGGTCTCCGTCGGAGACCCTCGGAGGTAGCGGAAGATCGAGGCAATCTCAAGTACTTCGAAGAAGCAGATGACGCCGGTTACAAGGGCGATGCCGAGGAGGAAGTCTTTGCCATGGATGCGGAACCTGTAGTAAAATCTTCTGAGGCTGCTCAAGCAGAATCCCATGCGTCTGCCGATGTCAAAGTGGACGATGTAAATCACATGTCTGATACATCCATGGAAGTTGGACCCGGCCGTATGCTTCCTGCTGGTCCTGAAGAGCCACCATCCAAGTTCCTGAACATGCCTCGGCCAGTGAACCCGAAAGAAGCACGGGCTCAGCCCGGTTCACGTGTAGAATACTTCCTCCTCCTCGAAGACTTGACAGCTGGCATGAAGCGACCCTGCATCATGGACCTCAAGATGGGTACTCGACAATACGGCGTCGACGCGAATGAAAAGAAACAGCAGTCGCAACGTCGCAAATGCGCAGCCACTACATCTAAGGAATTGGGAGTTAGAGTGTGTGGGCTGCAGGTCTGGGATGTGAAGACTCAGACGTACATTTTTCAAGATAAGTACTTTGGGAGAGACCTAAAGGTTGGGGCGGAATTTCGCAATGCGTTGAAGAGATTCTTGTATGATGGGATCGACTACTCGAGTGTGTTGCGCCACATCCCGACGATTTTGCAGAAGCTCTCCAAACTAGAAGTCATAATTCGAGGGCTTGCGGGCTATCGATTTTATGCCGCCAGTCTCTTGATGTTCTATGATGGTAATACCGGTGAGGTTGTAGGAGAAAGCGAAAAAGAGGATGAGAAGGAAGTGCGTGTCAAGCCCAAGGAGATTGACTTCAAAATTGCAGATTTCGCAAACTGCGTCACGACGGAGGATTTTTCTGACGACAGAGCTTGTCCTCCCTCGCATCCTGAATCGCCCGACAACGGCTTTCTTCGGGGCCTGAGGAGTTTGCGACAGTATTTCTTAGCAATTCAGATGGAAGTGCGTGCCGAAATGGGGTTAGCGGAGTTTTCGGAGGCAGAGCGCAATGGTGTTGACGAGACTGACGATGAGGGAAGGGTCAGTTACTGAGCGGCATTGTATATTTTTTGTAGTTTCTTTTTGTTGTTTTATTATTTCCACGGCGTCGGCAGGACTTTGTTTCGGTCGTGGTTTACTTTGCTCCAACGGCATCCAATCTCTCCTCTTCTTTTGATTTGGAGTCTGAGGAGTATGATTGGGATGGTAAGCGAGGCGTTCTTGCTTGCAAGGGCATGAGCGTTTTGGTATTGGCGTTCGAAGTATTAGATACCTTTATATTTTTGAGGGGGCTCTCGCGAGCTGCGGTTTATTAGTTCAATGATACCTCGATGCCTGTCTATGGACTTCTATCGTTTTCCGAATGTAATGAACCACTGTAATGAATACTGCTCAAGATCATGTTGTTGTTATGGAATGGAAAAGAGACCCATAGAGGACTGCCACCATGACATTTGAAGACGCTGAATGTAAGATTTCACTTGCTCCGACTGTGATTTTGCGTAGAGAATATATCCTTAGATAGCGGTACCACTGAATTGGCGCTCATATACCTACCTACTCAATACGTGTTATTGGACCAGCAGAAACTCTGTTGACTCTCGGCAAGAAAGGGGGGCTCGGCTCGGGTAACAATTGGCGGCTCACGTCACACGTGTCGTCGTAGCAACTGAAACACGACGTCAACACGCTTGAAGGGAATCTACGGTACGGTAGGCCAACGACAAAGTTGGCCCATCAACACGCCGGATCCACCCTTGCTGTCATTTTCATATCTCTGCCCCGCTTGCTATTCAATTGCTCGCAAACCAATTGCCAACATGGGGCAGACGGTCATCGATCTAGTTTCGTCTCCGGAACAACCGCCGAAGCGCCCTGCCGCGCTATCAGCGGCCCCGACTCCGGCGAAGAAGCAGCCTCTGAAGGCGGCAAGCGATGGGTTCGTCGAGCTTTCCTCCTCTGGCGATGAGGGTCTACAGTCGCCGAGGTTAACGGTAAAGGCTGCGCCGAGGAAAACTGCCGCTGCGACGTGCGCGAAGGCCAGCACGGCGACCACAGTTGCGGAACCGGCAGTCGCCACGTCCTCGAAAGCAGACACGTCGAGCGGCGGCGCGACGGGACCAGCCTCGGGACTCGTAACAGGGAGTACCGAATTTCACTTCCTGTCGGACGACTTCGACAGTACGGTCAATCTCGACTCCAGCAGATTACAACCCGACGACGACGAGGACCACGACGACCCTTTCGCGGACGATCTGCCCCCCTTTAAGAAACGAAAGGTTTCCCCTCCGCCGACGATACCAGAGCCTGCGAAGCGCCTGTCAGCTGGACCGGCATTCAAGAAAGCGGCTAGCAGGGTGTTGGAGTCGGACCCAGTGGTGTTTACGAGCTCACCTGATCCTTTCGTCGAAGCTGCGAGGCGGCGGGCGCAGAAAAGGAGCTCTGATAAGAAGTATGATTCGGAGGAAGACGTGTTTGAGGATATCGGCCGGGGGGGTAACTTCAGGGGGAAGGGTCATACACTAGGAAGTGCAGAGTCCGATGTTGGCGATGATGGTTCGGACTCGGATCTTCCTGATATTGCGCAGCTTCCGCTGAATCCTATCCCGAAATTATCGAGGACTTCGAGTTCTCAGAGAGCGCTCGATAAGTATAACGCCGACAAGCTGAAGGAGAAGGCTACGAAAGAGAAGGCTCCGAAGGTGAAGACTGCGAAGGAGAAGACCACGAAGGGAAAGGTGGACCTGTCGAAAAGCAAGGAGGAGAAAGCAGCTGCACAAGCCGAGAAAGCGAAGGAGAAAGCAGCCGCCAAAGCAGCCGAGAAAGAGGCGAAAGCCATCGAGAAGGAGAGGAAGAAGCACGAGAAGGAACTGGCTGCCGAGCTGGCGAAAGTCAATCTCTTGAAGACGGATAAGAAAGTGTCGACGCCGGAAATGATTGTTGATCTCCCGTCGTCGCTGAATCCGATATTGAGGGAGCAGACGTCTACGATGTTGCGGGCACTGAGCGTTGAGCATACTACGTGTGAGAGTGAGGTGCCTCTCATCAAGTGGAGGAGGAAGGTCGAGGCCGAGTACGATGCGGATGCGGATCATTATGTACCTGTTGCGAAGTATATCCGGGATGAATCTCACGCCATGTGTGTTTTGACTGCGCAGGCGCTGGTTAATCTGATCACTGGCCCTGAAAGCGGAGACCTGGACGCTCACGTTTTGAAATTGCAGACGCGACTCGGCTCGTGCAAAATCATATACTTGATTGAAGGTTACAACACGTGGATGAAAAAGAACAAGAACAAGCTGATCAGACAATACGACTCGGCTGTCCGAAGCCATGATAGTTTGCCGGACGGGCCCCAGAACGCCAGCCAGAAATCGAGGAGGAAGAAGAAGGAGCCGGACTATGTGGCCGAGGAACAGATTGAAGATGCCATGCTCCGATTGCAAATCGTGCACGAGGTGTTGATCCATCATACGAACTCGATGGTCGAAACCGCCGAGTGGATTGTGAACTTTACACAGCACATCTCGTCCGTCCCCTACAAGTAAGCGCTCCTCCTCCTCTCCTCTTCTACCATCAAGCATCCTCCCCGCCCTCCAGCCCAACTCTCTCCCTCTTTCTCTACCCGCCAGTGTGCTCATCAACGACACGCCCCAGAACCCAGAAGTTTACCCTCGACACCGCCTTCTGCGTGGACACGGGCCAAGTCAAGACGGGCCTCGACGCCGCGGACACGTACCAGAAGATGCTCGAGCAGATCCAGCTCGTCACGCCCGCCGCCGCCCTCGGCATCATGGACAGGTACCCCACGGTGCCGGAGCTGGTCCGGGGCCTGCGGGAGGACGGGCCGGGCGCGCTGCAGGAGTGCAGGAAGGCGTCGAACCGGAACGGGTCGTTCGCCGACCGCAAGGTTGGGCCGGCTATCAGCAAGAGGGTGTGGAAGGTGTTCTTGGGCACCGATCCCGATAGTTGGGACGTGTAGTTTGATTTTGGGGGGGAAGGCGGGAATTGGAGAGAGAGAGGGAGGGGGGGGGGGGAGTTGTATACCCAATACCCATATGTATCGTACCGTACCTGAAGTCTTTGTTCCACTGTTGATTCAGACATCTATCTTACCGCACAAGTTCCCCCCTCCCTCCCCCTCTCCATTCCTGTTCTCCCACCCTCGCCCGATCTCGAAAGAAGCAAGCACGAAGCGCCTCATGACCTAAAAAATCAGCCATCCAACCAACCAGCAAATCAATCAATCAATCAAATCTCCTCATCTCATCTCCTCACCTCCTCCCAGCACGGCACCGCACGGCACGGCACGGCACGGCACCGCACGGCACTGCCGGCTTTCAATCAAAAGATTTCCGAATCTGGTTACCAACCAAAAAGAAAAAAAAAAAAAAGAAGCTGGATTTGGTACTTCTTGTGGGTAGGTAGGTAGGTAGGTAGGTAGGTATCCGTAGGCTGAGCATGAATGAAAAAGCCAGATCAGATACCTAGGTAGAT